GAATTGTGTTTATTTCCACTAAGCCTGCTTGAAGGCTTGCTGGGCCCAGATAAGGGTGAATCTGGAAGATTATAATGGTTGGCAGGCGAAGACAAGAGAGATGGTTTCTTCATGTCCTGGAGCTGCAGCTGGTACCTTCCTCTTCCAGCAGTGATAACCTCCACAGATGCTCCCACCCTATCAGACTTAGGCTCAATACCATTCCTCTTATATCTTTCACAATATCCACTATTACAATTGACATACCAGTACCTACTTACACTTCACCTTTTTTGTACTGTTACTTTTATTTTTCCAAGTCACATGACCAGTCATGTGACCATTTACTTTACTTTACATTTTCGGACTTTTCATAGTCACATCACCTGACCAAGTGTCTAGACCAATCATGTGACCGGTCACATGCTAGACATCGGACTTTAATATTTATTTACAACTGTACAGTACCTCATATATTTTAGTATATATACAGGAGCAATACATGGGGAAGGACTCAGCAAGTTCTCCTGTTGTCTACCAACAACTAACTTGTTGAATCCTAATGGGTAACCACTCCCACCTCTTCCTCTTCTTTTGAGTGTTGTTTTCATTGTGCTCCAGTGCCCCAAGACTGTGTCTTGCTTGTTGGTGTTGTCACATCCACCATCTCTTAGTGTGAAATATGTTTGGGGGGAGGACTAAGTGTTTCACTCCACATGAATGCACTGAAAAGCTTGACCATCCCTGCCCTGACAGACACATGGCTGCAGAAATAAGGATTGCATGTCATTAAGTGTAGGCGCGAGAGCAAAATATTTTCCATTGCTACTGTGTAGGCGTCAAGTGTGTGACACCCCCATTTGCATTTGACCCAGGCAGGAATATTGTCCTGTTTACTATGAGAAGAGAGTTGTGACTGATGAGATGGGATATTCAGGATGCCTCCCTTAGTACCATTCCTAGGGAGATTCTTTTTGTAGCCAGAGGTAATGGAACTGTGTAATGAGACATCACTGTGCTGATGAGGTGGTGATTTCGGAGACTTCTGTTTCTGAGGGGCTGAGCGCTTTGATGACACAGGTTTTTTGCCAGCAGCAGTTTGCTTTGCTTTCTCATCCCAGTTGATTTGTTGACAGTAGAGGCTTTTGCAGTTGACCATGATCAACCATAACATCCAGAGTGGACTCCATGTCATGGATGTAGTCATGTGGCATGTCAGGTTGTAGAATCCTGCCTATAGCTTGATAAGGATACGTCCCCTGAATATTCCAAAGATATAAGAAATAATTCTATTGTAATCAAATAAGAGAACTCATGGTCAGATATTTTGTGGTCCTGTCAGCATCACCAATTTGAACATCTTCAGCCATTGCCCAATCTCCTAAAACTCCGAGACACTGTGGATACCAGCCATTACTGATGTTAACAGGCCAATCTGAGACAGCAAAATGGGGCAAGCAGCCTTGACTTGAAGCCATGAATTGCCATCACTGACATCACAATGAATAAGACCACATCTCAGGTAACCATTCTGAAGGCCTGTGTAGCCAGATATTAGCAAGTGATGAGATGAACATAAATAATTCTTGGTTTACCAAGTAAAACACCAATGATCCCGTCCAGCATTTTACGTACACAGGAAAACCACACAATTTCTACCCCAACTGTTTTCATGGCCATGCATTGATGTGTACAGTTCTCCAAGGCAGCCAACTCTGAAACTCCAGCAGTGCTCATGATGACCTTGGTTGTGTCCTGAATAAGTGTCCCAGGATATGCAATAGATGGCACAAGGGTTGATGTGGTGAAAGGCAATGGTCTCTGATTGGAATTCCTGGTAAAAAATGTGTGTTGTCCCAACCAGTGTTTGCCCTATCATATAAAACATCCACTTTTGGATTTCCAGATCTGATGATATTGTCAAAAGATGCAGAAGGGTAAAGCTGGTGATTGTCAGGATAATGGAAGATGGATGACACAGCAAGCATAACCAACTTTTGTCATACTTGTAACAACCAAGAGTTAGTTACTCTGGCGCACACAGGAACACACTATAAAGGTAGTGATGAGGGAGTGGTTACCCCTTAAGCTGCAGAGAGTTTGTTGGTATACAACAGGAGGACTCGCTGAGGAGTCTCCTGGATCTATTGGGGTATATATACTAATACAGAGTGTTTGTACTTATGTACTGTACAGTTGATAAAGTTAGTGGCTGATGATGTCATGGGGCCTAGCCCGCATGACCAGCTCCACTGTGTGAGAGAGTTGTATCTAAAATAAGAAGAAGGTAATGCGGTGCGAGAAAGAGGAGTTTGAACAAAAGGGGAAGTGCCGCGTGGCACCATGTGTGAAAGCTGAAGTGTACAAGGTTAAAGCGGAGAATGAAAAAGAAGGAAAGGTCCGAAAATTGTGTTATCGTAACAATACTCATAATTGATGGAAAAGTCTGAAAGTAGCTGAAATATTTGATTGCATTTTGGACCTACAAAATGATGTATTTTTGTTGACATATCCCCATAAATACTATATTTTTGTGTGAATATGTAGAAATATGTTAACAAAATACATTATTCTGATAAAGTCTTGTAGGTCCAAAATGCAATTAAATATTTTAACTACTTTCAGACTTTTTCATTGATTTTGGGTGTGACAAAAGTTGGTTATGCTTGCTGTGTGAGGAGCTTTCATTGTAACCTACAAAGAATGGATCTCTTTTCAAGTCTTCTAGCTTATCATGAATGTTGCTGTTGGAAGGAGTGCCAGTGGTAAGCCAGTAATATTTGATAATGACGTAGTCAGGATTTCCAGGTGCACAAGGCCCATCACCAGAGACCTCCGCCACCATAACCCTTTTGGCTCTTCAGGCCTGTTGGCTTGAAGAGGATTGCAACAACTTTACAGAGTAGAGTAGCTGCACTTTGCTCAACATGCAAAACTAGCACACCCTCATTGTTGTAATCCATAGCATAGTTGTAGCCTAGCCATCTAGTCTGTGAGTAGCAAAGAAAGATTATGGTCCTGATAAATAGCTCAGGGTATCTATTAATGTCAAATGGTGAAGTGGTAGTGTTGCCTCCTCTGGTGAGTAGTGATATCCTTAGTATGGGCCCGCAGAGAGACAATCCAATGTAAAATCTCCTAGCAACTTGCTTGCAAAGAACGACCAATGCAGTATCTGCCAACTGGCTTATGGCAAGGTTGACAAAGTGGGGAAGATCCATATATTTGACCTTGCACGTAGAGAGCAGATGAAGCCAGGCATAGCCCCCATCCATGGCATCATCAACAAGCATTAGGTCTGGTTTGCGTCTATCAGACACCAGCCTTTCCGCAGATGACACCCATTAGCGTGACTTCCTCATTGAAGCATCCATTAAAACTGATTGCAAGTCATCATTGACAACCTATCTCACATTAAGCTAACTAGTAAAAGTTCTTTATAGAATAATAGCTTACCTTATTAAAGAATGATGCTATTTTGTCATATTTTGTCCTCCTGCCTTTTTTTGTATTCTGTGTAGAAATTTGGGGAATATACCTGGCACCAACCACACATAATATATCCACCAGATCCAGGGCCTTTGGTATTTAAAAAATTGCAAAGTTCCTCCACATTAGACGCCACAGTCCCCTCTGACAGGGTGGTATCTTGACCAAAGATCCATTCTTTGTATAATATGAGATGGTGAGTAAGTTGGCTGTGGTTTCTTTGACTTAGGATGAGCCTGAGCATGCCATATCATGACATTCATTACTTGCATGGGAATCTAGTTCCCTGGTTAATTCTTCAAGAAACTGGCTGTCTTCTCTCCACTGCTTTAAAATGTTCAATATACACCTCACCAAAGGCTTGAAGGTTAACATAAAGCTGTTTATTCTGTTCAATTTCACTGGATAGGTAAGGCAAAGTTTGACTCTGGTTGGCACCAACAAGTCTATCTGGATGCTCTGCTAGAGCATCATGACCCTGTATACACTCTGTTAAGACAGCACAAACCATAACTAACATAAAACAACTTACTGATGTACTATACCTATTCCACCAAGAAAAATGGACGCATTGAAATTGCTGTGTGCCATTTCCTCCATTGGTGAACAAAGGTAAGTCATCTATACATGCAAGAAGAAAGAAAAACTCACTTGAGAGGAATGAAATCAAGGATTAGAACTGTATCCTTGAGGAAAAAGGCAGGGAGGCTAAGAGGAAGCAGCTCCTGCAATCAACAAACAGTGGGTATTATTTGTGAACAAATCAATACGATACCTCAGACATTTGGCCATATCGCAAACAACTTTGCTGCTCACTCAGCCCAGTATCCAGCAAAGGTCAAGACCTGCAATGATAACCAGTGAGTACACTGACCCACCTACAGCAATCTGCAGGTATTTTGAGGTGTTTGAGTGGATTGAATCAAAGGTTTTTTTTCTTGTGGACATATATGATTTTAATACATTTTCTTACAGATAGAGCATTGCCTTCCTGAAGAATACTCTATTCTAGTCAAGATAGTGGATAATTTTCCAGGCTTACCTGCTTACTCACACCTGTTATAATTCAATTCATCTCTCAAAAATGGATCAAGCATACTGAGGATAGATATACTATTCATGTTATTGGTGATAGAAGGACACATAAAAGTAGCGTAGACTGATATATCATGCTTACCCAAAGTTTGAGCAGGTTCTACTTCACCTCAAGGACATTACAGCCTAACCTCCATACTACTACAGTCTATTGCTACAAGGATCACCATCAACAAAATAGTCAGTTAGGACCCTACTTTATCATGTGGAAACACTATGCTTATCAAATTATCTGAGAGACAGCAGTGATTACACTGAGCTGCCTCCATTGGCTTATGCTCAAGCCTCACAAGTCAATCTCAGCTACAGATACAGGGTAGGTCACTCTTTTTCTTACTGGATGGTTTTACTGGCTGATTGAAAAACCATTAGATGACGTCTTTTGTATGGCCACATAGCTTGAACAAGATTGCAACTCAAAAGAAAAAGGGTCATTATCATGACTGAACAGATGTGTTTGGCCGGGTGGTTGGCTGCTGAGCAACCTTCCTCCCATTGCCAACTTGTGCAGAGTGGCCTTCCAGCTCTGGACCATAGTGCTTTGTGTACTCGCTCTGCGAAGGCTTTGTTTTTTCCGTCCCATGTCCTGGTTGTGTTATAATCAATTGTCCGGTGGTGATAACACCCCAGGCAGATGGTGCAGCATGGGAGAACACTTGGCTCATAGCCTATACAAAATGTGCGCTGTCTCTTGGGCTGATGCGCATATGCGGGATTTTAGGATGTTGGTGGTGACTGTTTCAGCCCAGAAAATGGCATGTGTGGCATCTCCAAGGACGTCAAAGACAACCAGAAAATGTTTCAGTCCCTCAAGGTCATTTTTGAAGAGCTGTTTAACTGGATATATGGTATTGTAAGTGATTCTCAATATTTTCTCATAGGTGTCTCATGGATGTATTAGATGCAAACTCACCTTCCTGAAAAGTGCCAGATGTTTGAGCAAATTGCGTCCATCTTACCAGGAAACCACAATTCCCCAGCCTCCCCCTTCCTCTCACTGGTTATCAATATCAATATACAGACAAAGGCTCACCATGACAGCAAGGACCAGGAGTTTTGCCTTGTTCTCCCCATTGGAAAATTCAGGGGGACAGCTCTTCTGATAGTTGAGACAGGCCTTGTAATTAAGCTGAATCATGGGGATTTTGTAGTTTCCAGGTTGTCTGATATCACTCATCTCAACCTTTATTGTGAAGGTAAATGAGCATCCATTTTTGTTTTCTGGTGGCAGGTTTATATCTAATCCATATCTAATCACTGAGATATATATTATCAGAGTCAGGTAGAAATTATCTCTCTACAATTATACAAGATATGATCTCAGAATCTGCCTGCATCCTAATGAGGAAATGCCCTAACTTTCCACTCATTCCATGAGTTGTGTAACAACCAAAGTTTGTATACTCTGGCACACGTCAAAGACAGGCAAGGAGGGGTGAATAGAGTAGAGGATAATGTCCCTTAGGTAGGACCAAGTTTGTTATGGGTAAATAACAGGAGAACTTGTTGAGGAGTCTCCTTGATCTATTGGGATATTTATACTACTACAGACTATTTGTATATGTGTACTATACAGTTGATGAAAGCAATGGCTGATGATGTCATAGGGCGCAGCCCGTGAGACCAGCTCCACTGCATGAGAGACTTGTAGCTAAAAATAAAGAAAAGCAGTGCAGTGCAAAAAAGTGGAGTTTGAACCAAATGGAAAGTGCTGCATGGCATTGTGTGTGAAAACTATGAAAGAAAGTTAGAGTGGAGAATGAAATTTAAAGGTCCAAAAATTGTGTATTGTAACAAGTTGTTTTGCAGATGCTTGTTTTTCTTTCACCACCATGGTACTGACTTTACCTGTTACAGTATTTTCTCATGACACATTTCTACCATTTCTCAGGCGATTTCCCAAGGCACATTGTGGTGTTTGCAAGCAGACTCCAGAGAGCAAGGTGCTCTGCATTACTCCCAAGGTATCAGAAGGAGATAAACCTTGTCCATCCACTAACTTGCTTACCTCATCATTGTCCTTGCCAGCACCAGTACTCTACTTGCTCGCTACCACGTAAAATAAACGCACATGTGACAACTCTTTGCCTACACATTTTTAATTGAAAATACTCTCTTTTTCATCTCAGACTAGGATAGGACTGCACCGCTTCCACACTTATCCTCCCATGCATTCAACTTCCCATGTCCTCATTTCCTCTCTTCCTCTTCCATCACATCCTCTGCATCTTTTTTCCTGCTCATAAGACAATTCACGCTTGAGGAACACCAGACTTCCAACTATGCCAGCCATCTTAAACAATGAGGAGCACATCCATGTATGCTGACCGTGCCTGGTTGCGCCCACTATGTATAACTAAAAACAAGGGCTCATATCTGAAAAGGAAAGTTGAGCAGGTTGATCAAATGGGGAATGGTGACAGAGAGGCAGTGGAGAGACAGGTTGAAGAAGGAGCAGACAGCTACAATTTCTATATACACTAATTTCAAGACATCATTACCCATTTTCATCTCTTCCTCTCTTGCTCCTTCCACTGCAATATTTGCATCTTCTTACCCAGTCTGGATTCATTTATCTTTCCTCATTCTGCTATTGTTCCTTCCCAACAAGAATATGTTCTCACTGTATCAAAACAGGAGGTTGGAGAAGAATAAGCTAACCTCTTCCAACTTTTCCCACCCCTTCACTGCTTTTACTCTCTCTGAAAGTCCTCTCCTCAAGGACATCATTCCTCCCATGTTGTTGAGGCCAGCCTCGGGTGTTTCCCCTCAATTGAGGAAGCACATACCTCTCACAAATTATATTATCTCCAATATTCCTATCACACCCTCTTCTCAAAATCACAAGAACTACAGTACTAACTTGCACATTGTGGTTGAAGACAACTATGAATCAACATCAGTACTCTGTTCATATTGGTCTTCCCATTCATGCCTGCTCATCACACTTCTCATGCTGAGTTGCCCAATCTGATGTTGGTATTTGGTCTGCAAAGTTGAAGGCTGTGTTTGGTTATAAAAATTTTGTAAGAAGAGTGTTGTTGAGCAATTGAGGGAAGTGTTTGATTTGCAGATGACTAGAAACTGCAGGAGTTCTGCATGCAGCAAGTTTATTTTCATCAGTCGGGAACAACTACCTTCCTCTTCTCAATTCCTCACAACCACCTTGAACTCTTCTTTTCTTGCACCCTCCCCCTATTCTGTGTCTCTGTTTCAAGGCAGCCTGTCAAGACAGATAGTCATGTTTTAATCAGTATAGCACCTCTAGCAGTGAGGAGTGAGCTCATGAGAGCCACAACCCACATCAAGGCAGAGTCCCAAGATCAATTTGCCAGGCCAGAATGTTCTGGTGCATTCTTTCCTTGACTCCCTGATGTTGAACAGGTTGGCCCCAACTACTTGTTTGCACGCCTATTGCAGTCTCTGGCCTATCCTACTTTTATTCTGGTTTTTGGTAGCCAGTGATATCTAGGTATGTGACTCCTTTTTCTCTTAATGTGAAGTAGCTCTGTGGTTCTCCCTTAGTACATAATATCTATAGATATGATAATAATTATGTTTAGAGGTCTAGGGGAATGAAAGATAATATATAGTGTAAAGCTGGTATTTGATACAGGATATAAATGTATGGGAAAAAGCAATACCACTTCCACTGTGTGACCCAAAAGCAATGAAAATCACTATGTGTATCAACCCATCTTGAGATGAAAAGTGCACAGTTATGTGGGACAAATCACGAAATATATAATTATGAAACATGTTAAATCAACTCTGTTATGGCCAAATTCAACTAATGCTTTCTGAGCTCCACTGTGGTTGTTTGACATAGTTTAGCATAAATGATGATATAGCTTGTAGATCATTGTTAGTCAGACATCAATAGCTGGTAAAACTACCAATAGATAACTTTTGTTTCATAATTTGTAAACACACCTTTTCAAGAATGCATAAATACCTGTCCAGTAAGAGAAGATAGGACACAAGAGCTTTTCTTTTCATCACTAGTACCATACTTATTTAATTTATAAGATGTTTGCTGCATTCCATTCCTCAATATAACTAGCAGATCATTTTTGGTGAGAAATCTATTAGATGATAGAAGCTTGCACATGATAGTTTTTTTTTATCAATGCACATCATCACAATGACTGGGCACTAGCTCTCAGAATAATAATATTTATTTTCTTGAGTGTTGATCTTAGACTTTGTAACTTTGGAAAATGTCCCAATATTGGAGTAAAATGTTCGGGATGTCTTTCCCATATGTGAGTAGTGAGTCTGGTGACAACACCAATTATAAATGTGAGAGAAGCAAGAAAAGGCCTACCAGTATAAGAGTTGTCTTGTCACTGTTGATTGTTTGTTACTGATAGCAGGATTATGATTGCTACCAGGTGGGGTGGTTTGTGCCATGGAAATCATCTAGGTGTTGTTTGGTAGGAGAGGACTTGAAGAGTGATATAGCACCTGAATCAAGCTATATCCCATTGTTGTATATTCAATATATTGAGCTAGCTATAAATTATGCTCATATAAATTCTTTTCCTGCATGTGTAATAGCAATCAAGACAGATCTATTTTGTATATGATATTAACATTACATGTACAATAGATAACTACACTATGACAGCTGTGGCTCAGTTGGTGTATTGGTAGCAGCCTTCAGGGTAACCTGTCTCACTTTGATTTGGGCTAAATGTAACAACCAAGAGTTTGTTACTCCAGCGCACAACTCAGACAAGCTATAGAGAGGATGATGAGGGAGTGGTTACCCTTTAGGCTTCAATAAGTTAGTTGTAAGGATACAACAGGAGGACTCGCTGAGGAGTCTCCTTGATCTATTGGGGTATATATATTACTACAGGTTTATTTGTACATATGTACTATACAGTTGATGAAGGCAGTGGCTGATGATGTTGTTGGCACAGCCCGTGTGACCAGCTCCATGAGATACTTGTAGCTAAAATAAGAAGGAAGGCAGCGCAGCACAAGAAAGAGGGTTTTGAACAAAAAGGAAAGTGCCACATGGCATAGGGTGTGGAAACTACAGTATAAAGTTAAAGAGGAGAATGAAAATTAAAGGTCCAAAAGTTGTGTATTGTAACACTAAAGGCACCATTTCTTGAAACAAGTGGTCAGATGAATGACTGGTTGGGGAAAATGGGGTTGGTGGAAATGTATGATGAACAGCTTATAATCAGAAAACAGAAAAAGAGAAACTCACTGATTTCACCAATTGAGAAGTTCTACAGTTTCATTGTGCTTGTCAGGATCTTTGAAAAGTTTGAAGAGACAAATGAAATGTTTTTGCCTCTGTCACTGTGTTTAAAAACTGGGGAAAACATTATTGTACATCCATTACTAATGATTCTTCCCATATAATTAGTAATTATGATAGATCATACCACTTTTTACTCTTTTTCTTATTGGTTAATTATCTGATCAGACCACTTTCTTATTTTCTTCTTTTTTCAGTCTGATCTTTACTATTCACTATATAAAAATTACATACTTGATGTATTGTTCCTTCAGTTCAATATTAGTTTGGATTTGCGCCTGTACCAATACTCTTCAGCAACTCTATCTCCACTCAGCTCCACCATCTTATATCAAGAACTTGGTCTGATAAAAGTTGTTATTATATAGCTTTGTATTTGTTGCCTGACAGTAGGATTGCTTTCTATGTGTGTATAGCCAATCATTATGGCTTTGCGCCCCTTGAAGTAGAACTTTCCTTGCTATTTCCCTTTTGGAATCAAGGCATATGCTTGGCATCTGAAAGGGCAAAATAAAATTGGATCAACTCTCCTTTCAAACAGTATTTTATATGTGGTTTACATGGAGTCCTGAAACTGGGCTCATAACATAAGAGAAACTACAATAGATGTGAGCTTAAGATAATCTCTAATAAATGTGATGTAACATACCTCAGCTGCTGCCCAAGAGGCTATAGAAACAACTGAGGTATTCCTATACTAAACCCCCTACTACTTATAGTTGGAGGTGCTACTTGCTAATGTATAATGACTCCTAGATGTATAATGGCAGCACACTTAAAAGAATCAGTACAAATTAAAGCCCCAACACAAAATCCAACAGATAACAAGAGTAATGTCACCAGAGTTATACTCCTATGCTTTCAAGAAATGTATCAACATGTATTTAAATAAAAAGCCAGAAAAGGAGTTCATTGAAGAAAGCTTGCCTGTAAAGCATAAGTTGTATGCATAGCATCAGAGACTGTGAACCTAATCATTCTATAATATAACAAGATCAAAATCAGCAATTTAATGAATACTGAAGACTGAAATATATTCATTTGTATGTTTCCTTGAATATTCCAGGTTTGTCAACTGCAAAATATTGTTGCTCTCTAGATATTGTATGTGGGACCATTGCAACTACAGCTCTCACATCTTTAGTATCTATAACCTTGAGTAAGTTGTTGCCTTGAGCCTTGCATGATATGATTGTATTTGATGAAGCATGGAATAGAGGTGTATCTGGTTGGGAATACAACAAAATGAGTGCGACAGTTTTGTGTTTGCTCTCAATTTCTCCAGCAGCCTCCAACCTTCGCTCATCAGCATCAAGCAAATCCACCTCCACTATTTTTCTGGATGCCTATGATGGTCTCTGGCACATCCTGGTTTTGTTCTGACCTATCCACCCCCTTTCTATTCATTTTTTTCTTTAGGTCCCAGGGAGGACTTTAGCCCAAGTTTAATTCTGGAGTATAATCCGTACTGGGTTTTTATTCTTGTTTTAGGTTCTTTAGTAGGCTCACAGCCCTCACCTAAATTCTACAAGATGGTCTCCCTGTTCCTCACACAAGAACATCCCCTTCATTGAAACAATAATTTGTTTAGCCCTATTGCCCAGCATATTTGATTTATGTAAAAGCCACAATGTATGTTTCCTTATATGTTAGAATAGTGGCACAAACCACTTTCTATATTGTACATTTTACCTTTTCTGGCTACACTTTTATTATATTGTTTCTTCTTGTATTGCTTACTTTGTTTTCTGTCATATTTTGCACCACCTTCTATATCTTACATTTTTGTACCTTATTACCCATTCTGTCACTCTATTAGACATGTCAATAGGTTACTGTACTTACAGTTTAAATTCTCAATCATAACTTGTAAGAAGGCTGTAGTGATATTCACTATATAGAACCAAACATAATGATTTTATTTAGAAACCCTCCATGGATGTGTCTGCTATGTTTGACTGCCGCCTACAACATGCATGTTATCTATTTCTACATCTTAATGCCAAGATGGGCATTTATCTGGTATAAATTATATGTACAATTCAAGTATAAGCAAATCCTATACTTGATTTGTATTTTAAATACTTTTGTATGTTGTATATTCTAAAGAGTTTTGTTGTATGGACCCCAAACACCTCTATGATTAATGGGATATCCCAATGAAAGTTGGACCATTGGTCCATCCCAGATATCCTAGTGGGATGTCCCACTGAAAATTGGACTATTGGAATATCCTACATGGTTCAATAGAATATCCTATTAGGCTTTTTGGATGTCCCATGTAGTTGTCCCAAAGGGCATGGTAGACCATGCTCCAAGGGGCCACTAGCCCTGTTGGTGTGGAGAATATGATCAAGCTAAGAGCCCTAAATTTCTGGCTGCCTGAAGTGCATGGTAGGAGTCATCACCAGTCTGGTTGAACATATCCCGGTTGCCCTACCAGCTTAACTAAGCATAGGAGTTACTTGATTATGATTGATTTTTACTCCGCAGCAAGTGGTTCCAAAATCACTACTCATTCAATCATCATTGGATTTGAACTGATTAATAGGTGATTGTTGGAATCCACCAGCTTTCCAGTGGTTTTTACCCTACTTTAGATTCATAGTGTTCAATTTTTATACTTCAAGTGAGCCAGGCTTCAAGATCAGACTCTATTATACCGGATCAAATTTGCACCAAAGCTGAGGGGCGGGTATTAGGTCTCATTAGTTAGTCAGAAGACTTCAGAAAAGGATGACTACTGGTGAGACCAAAGTGACTTAGAATATTAATCACTAAAGTGCAAGACATTTTCTGCTCAACTTACTGGCATAATAAATGTTACAGCTCTGATCACTTCTTCTACAAATTGGCACTGCATCTGATTAGGTCTTTATGCTGGATAGTGTTGCCTTAGCTAATGTTAAGCCTTATATGTTAGGACCAAATTTTCCAACAATAATAAAGATATTGATATCACATAGATCCTCGTCCGAAGACCTTGAGAAGTCAATAATAACAAAATTGACCATTAACATTGCAAGTGTACTTGACAAGTCAAGTTACAGCTACTAGCATCACATTTTCAGATTGAGATGTATGAGAAAATATGGTTTGAATTATACACTGCAAGGGAAAAGCACAACATAGATACTAACATACATAGAGTGAACAACTCACAACTAAGTCCAGAACAGGCAACAGAATGTGAAGATGGACATACAGGGATGGCAAAACAAAAGTAGATCACCAGCCACATCTTTGACCTGTACCTTGTGCCCTTACATTTTCCATATTTTGCCTCCTGATGCTTCTCCTGACACCAACTTGTTCATCCACGTTTAGCAGGAGTCATGCAACTTGTATGCCAATTGCTGTTTGAAACATCATTTATTCTACCATTTGTCCAGCCCTGATTAACTGAAGTAGAACTGCACCTCCTGAGCATCAGGAAAAACTATTTTGCTATATAGCTAAGCATGTTTCTATGGCTTCTATAACAGCTATAGCATTACTACCATAGTCAAAAATTTATATAATAGATATCATAGCTGCTATGGTAGCTATAGAAGCTATAGTAGCTATAATGGCTTGTTTCTATCTATCAGAACTTTGTTCTGATTGTGATGAAAACACCATTATTACTCACTAAATGGTTTGGCATATATATTAGCCTGCTTTTCTATGTAAAAAAAGTCTATGCAGGTAAATTAGTCTCATGGTTTTATAAAAAATCTATCACAAATATTCAATTGTACAGATACTGAAGAACACCACTAACATCACATCAAAGTTGTAGTGTTTTGCTTAACGCACAAGGAGGGATTCAGGCGGAGTTCAAATATGTGGCACCAAAGCAAATTTTCCAGCAGTTGACTTTGAACACTATAATTGAGTGTGTGAAAATGGACAGTGTCACTGTCCATTTTCACACGCTTCCTATGATTAGATTAGATTTTGTGCCATTTTTTTTTCAGAGTCAGCTCTTGATGTATACATGGCACTAGTGTTATGTCACAAGTCATATTACAGCTCAGTACATTTGGATGCTTCACTTGCATTTTCTCCATCTTTTGCAGCAAAGTCAAGCTAATACATCACTCAATGAGTATCTTAGCTTAATGTATGTTTTCGTTTTTACAGTTATCTTATGTGACACTAATACAAGCTCTGTTTATTCTTAGCCACCATCTGTATTGGCATAAGCACTATAAATGCCCCCATTATATTCAACCACCACATCACAAGTCTATCTTCAGGTATAGTTTGTGTCCAGAATTCTTATATATGGGACTCATCAGTCCTAGCTATCCCCACTGATGTTTTTTGTCATTACAGTGATTTATTTGTATATGTATAACCATTTTTATTTTTATTTTTTCTGAGTCATTGGCGAATAGGCAGAGGTAAGTTCATCCATCTAATACTTGGTGGTAGTCACTTATTGGGTTATTGTCTTGCACAGACTTAATGAGTTATCAAGCAAAGCTCACAAGCCATTCATGAAATTGTGGTGAGTAATTCCATGGTAGCATGTATATAACATTACTGAGTGCATTGTACATAGTATGAATAACTTACAGTATCTAATTTAAAGGTATGGTTTCAACTTTGTTAGGATAGTTTATCATTACATGTGTCATGTAACCATATTAGAAGTATAAGTTGATTTTACTGAATATGACCTCTAATTATAATACAAGTAAAAATAATATAAATGCCCTGGGATAATATTTTATGGTAGTGATAGTTTTTATGTTCTATGGTAGCAGTTATAGTAGAGGTATAGTACATGTATTACAGAGGTGCTATCATAACTGGTATAGAAAATGTCTCAAAATAGTGCTGCTATATAGCGCTATATAATAGGGACTTGTCTAGGCGTACTATAGCTACTATTTTCCCTATATAGCACTATGGTGGCTATAATAGCTATAAAAGGCAGCTAGGTTTTTCCTGATGCAATATAAGACTTCAGCCAATGTTTTCTCCAGCCATTCAACACTTTATCTTGCAGTCCTCACACATCCCAACACCGCTAACTCCACCAAATGACCCACACAACTTCTCAGAAATATTTGAAGGAAATGAATCTGGCCAGGACTTCAATATAGACAAACACCCTCAGACTATGGAGTATGGAACCAATCTCAGTCACAAAATGTAACATTCAAGGGCTTTTCAGGTATGCTCAACCAACACTCTAGTACTTCTCATCTTGTTCCACCTATGGTCAACCATGCTGCTTAATTTCAACTACAACCACTCACTCATGCTTTGGAATCCCATCACCATGTTCATGATGTGAGTACAGTGAGAATGGACGACATTGCACCTCAAAATAGATTTGAAGCTCAACTCACTCTCCTCAATTATCATGCAGCCTCAACGGCACAGATAGAGTCCCAGGCCATGCGGTCCTTAAGTTTTCAGGATGTTGGCTCATCCGCAGCGGATATTGGTGCAGGAAGAAGCAACCAAGACTCTGATTTGGGCCCATATTCACTCAGCAATGATTTCAATGTTCCATGGGACGTCAGAGAGCAACTGGCTGTGCGTGAATACGCTCTCAAAGACCAACACCACTTAATTTTTGCCCAACAATGATTCTGTGTTGATGTGATGTTTGCTCAAAAGAGGGGCACTATTGTGGAAGATATCGACATAATTCAGAGTATTCAATTATGTAAGGCCTCATTTTCCTCTAGAACCATACTATGTTCTCACAGCCTTTGATCTCTGTAGTGCAAACACCAGTGCACACAGCACTAGACATTGTTCACTTAGCGGGCATGGACATCATCTTTGAATTGATCTACATCTACTCCCTTATAATTAGAGCAGGTGTCATTCACATTTTCCCCCCACAGTCTATTATCAAATAGAAAAATATGAATGACCTTGGGGTGGCAGAGTATGCGTGGGAGAAGTCCTCAATCGGTACCCGCAACTTTAAGTTCCTGTTCAACAACCATGGTTCTGGAGTATGTACATCTCTGTTTCTTAGGCTTTGATTCTAATTATTTACCAGCCACAAATTCTCAACCCTCAAGTACTGAAAAAACCAATGCTAGAATTATGTACCAGGAAAAAGTGTACGCATCCCAGTTTTCCTAGTTTGATCCACCATTCGGCAAATTTTGCCATGTCTCCTACAAAAATGCTGGGGTCAGCAACAATTTCAACTTTTTTGTTGAAATTTTATTCAATGGTACCAGCGCTCTGAGTGTTCTGGATTTCTTCAACTAGATAATCATACATGGATGTGTAGGGTTTTTATAGCTAATTGTTTGTCTCCTCCATACTGAAAGAGAAATAAAGGAAAGTGGTCTGAGGATGGGACTGACCAATAAGAAAAAGAATAACTATTGGACGACTTCAGGGATGGATAAACAGGTGACAGAATGTGCTAATAATAAGTTTGTTAGGCATGTTCAGGAACCATACCCTCATGATGAGGTATAATCCCTAAGATCTCTGTTAATATTCCCAGGCACTGATAGGGCTTGGAGCTGGTTGGCGAGATCTCAGCTGTTAGCCTTACTCATTCTGCTGTCTGGCAGAGAGTACTGCCTATTTTCTAATCTGCAATAAGAAGTGGTAATGATGGTTAATGAAGCCCAGCAGGGCAATGAGAGAAAGGATGGCAAAAGATACCTCCAGCCCTAAGGCTAGAGGTGTAACAGGAAAAGTGTTCAAAAACCAAGACATAGAGTGAAGGGATAAGGGAAAAGTAAATGGTCCTTACAGGAATGATCACCCAATTCACAATCAGGGTCCCCCCACCTTCACAAGCAGTGATCCCGGCTCCTGCTTATCCCACTCCCCCATTTGTTGCTTGCCCTGTGCCCCCTTTTTGTCCTCCACAGATGCAATCCATGTCCCAGAAGTTAAGGAGGCCTTCCCAGGAGTCCCGTAGAGAACCTGGGGAGATGGATGCTAATGCAATCCATCCTGCTGGGTAAATTCCTTCTTGGACAGCGGTCAAAGGCCTTTCTTGTGCTTCCAAGCAAATAAATGTTGTTGGCCATCTGCAAGGTTCAAACGCAGGTGGTTGTCTAGTGCATCTTTGGGGTCTATGGGTCTTTCCTGGGCAGCCCATTGCTTGTGACTGGCACAGATTTGGTGGATGGTAGGTGGAACTTTGTCACTTTTCTGCCATTTTGGTCAGTTGTCTCTGACATGTCCGATCACATGACATGCTTGCTAGGGTTAAAGTCCTTGATTGCGGGGACAGTGGATTCACCCAGGCGGGCTATGCTGTAGAATGACATAGTAAAACATGTATAGATTGCGGCATCTAATGGTTTTTGCAGGTTGAGCTCAGCCTTTATTGTGATTAATATGTTGAAGGTGATGGGCATTCTTCTTGGCTTTTTTGTTGATGCAGGCGCAAGTCTGCAAGCTCCTTCCAGAATTGCTCTCAGCTCATCCTTGTTAACCAGCCAGGTGTATCCATGTAGCAGGTGCCAAGCTCTGAGACCTGCTGCATAGTTAGCCAGTGTTGAGCCTGCATACAAACCTGTACAGCTGGACAGGAAAAAGGTGAGGAAAGTGGGTGCTATGGGGCATCTCTGCTTTTTGAGTATATTATGCATATCACAGTATGTGTGAGACACAAGGAGCCCTGCTCCATAAGTCTTTTTAGTGGACTCTGCCCAGGATGCTTCTATTAGTTCTAGCATCCTGTCTAACTGTTCTTTGGAAGGGTTTGCATTGTTAGATCTTTTGTTAAATAGATTAGCTCATGGGGGAATCCCAGCGGGGGTCCACAGGCACAGCCTGTCCTTCGTGAGACAGTGCGGGCATCAGGAAAAATGGGGGTACCTATATAGAGCTCTATAGCACTATAAGTACTCATAAAGCTGTTATAGTGGTCAAACCTGTTATAGAACCTCTGCCATCTATAGAGCCTCATATAGCTCTATAAATGCTCTTATAGATGTTGGAAATTGTTGTGTGGCTGATAAAAAAAAATTAACACAGACAAGATTTGAACTCTCAACCTGCTAGTCAGCTTTTGGGTGACTAAGCAACCTATCACCACACATTACATTTATCCACTACACCATGAGAGGTTATAAAATATATCATACAGGTGTTATATATTGACATTGTTACTACTTATATTTGGATAAATCATTATTCTTATTTTATAAATATCAAAGATACAAACTACTATCCCACTAATACAGGCTATATAATTAATTAATACTGTATGATTTATTAGCCCTTTTAAGCACCTCAAACTATATTATAAGTATGACCTTCACAGCTATAGGAACTATGTAGGCTACTATAGGCTATAAGAGCACTTATAGTACCTTGCCTATAATAATATACTTGACTCCAAACACTTTTGGCCTCTTTCTATTATTAAACAAGTTTATTAGATTAATCCAGAGTTTGAGCAAATTATAGATACTTCTCCCCTTGGTTAAGATTTTGCCTACTACTATACTATAAGAGCTATAAGAGCTATGATTGCACTGATAGTACTATAGTTTCTATGAATGCATTTATATATATAGGTGGTGGCTATATAGCGCTATATAGCAAAAGGGTTTTTCCTGATAGGCCTCAGTGTTGATGTAATGGGTGTCAAGTTTGCTCAGTAATTCTGTGGGCTTGCTGCGGAACTTTGCTGCCATTATACTAATGCCTTCTCAAATCTTTGTCTCTCCTCATGCAGAGATGTCCGCTGCACTGTTGTAATGGGCACGCTCATTTCGGTAAGCAGTTCTTCCCCTCGCTTCCTCTTCCTATTACAATTGACGTACCAGTACCTACTTACACTTCACCTTTTTTGTACTTTTACTTTTATTTTTCCAAGTCACATGACCAGTCATGTGACCATTTACTTTACTTTACATTTTCGGACTTTTCATAGTCACATGACCAATCATGTGACACATCACCTGACCAAGTGTCTAGACTCATCATGTGACCGGTCACATGCTAGACATCAGACTTTAAACTTTATTTACAACTGTACAATACCTCATGTATTTTAGTATATATACAGGAGCAATACATGGGGAGGGACTCAGCAAATCCTCCTGTTGTCTAGCACAACAAACCCGTTGAAACCTGAGGGGTGATCCCTCCTTCTCTCTTCTCTTATGCTTGTCTGAGTTGTGCGCCAGAGTAAGAAACTCTTGGTCGTTACACTTCCTGTCGTAGCCTAAGTCTATTGATGAATTTATCTGTAGGAGGAGGGTAACCGCCGTCACACAGTATCTTGAGCTCTGCTGCTGATAAGGGCTCAGTGGCGTTGATGAGGTATTGTTGGACATGCTTGTGGATGGTAGTGGGAGGGAGTAGAAGTTGTTTTGGCCCGTATAAACCTCTGGAGGGGTTGTTTGTGGGGTTGCATATACTAGCGACATATTGAACTCAGATCTCAAAATGTTGGGGGCAGCTTTGAATGAGTTCATGGATACACTTGAACACCCCATTAACGGCTTTATTGCAGTGCCTGCTATTTGGCCAGCCTTTCATAATGCCAGAGTTGTCTCCGTAGACCTTGAAGAGGTAGCTAGAACAAGGGATAGTGGCCAGTCTCCTACCCACCCTCTATTTTGAGAGAGAAGGGATTAATCCTAGTGCTTTGATGTTGAGATAATATACAAAAATAAAATAAAAATAAAACACATCACATGACTCAAAAATTTGAATGTCTTTCACTCTCTCTCTATAATGGCTGGAATATAACATCAGCAAACAATGGTTTGCCACAGTGACAGTGACGGGGATAATCACAGCAGACTCCCAATAAAATATGAATATAAGAAAAGGATTGATTATACCATCATTTACTACATTCGGACAGATACACCTCAAGGTTAGACATTTGATGGCTTCTCAGATCAATCAAATTCCGGATACACCATCACTAGATGAGATTCAAAAGACCACACAGAGCCGACTAGGTCTATATCCCTGCCTTCGGCAAGCAAAAGCAGGACATGCAATCCTACAGGGTGACCAAGATGTAGTGTTAAAAGCTGGCACAGGCCTAGGAAAAACCCTTGCTTTCCTCATTCCACTGCTCTTTTGGCCACGAGACTGTCAAATAATCATCACTCCACTCAATCTCCTTGGACAACAAAATACTGATTCCCTCAAAAAAACTGGAATATCTGCAATAGCCATCAATTCAGACTCAGCAACTACTGCTAATTTTAGAGTGAGGCTTTACTGTTCATGTGGAAAACCTAACTGACATGTAAATGGCAGGCCATTGCAAATATGAATTTTAGAGCTATCATTATCAGTCCCAAGCATACAATAAGACCCAAGAAGAGTTCAAGAAAATCTTACGAAGCCCAATATTTAGCAGTCAAATAATATCTATTGTGTTTGATGAGGCTCATTGTATCAGTGACTGGAGTGAGATTTGGCCAGAATACAAGGAATTAGGAAGACTACAATATATTTTATCTCACATTCCATCTGTTGTAACGCCCGCCACACTATCACCTAGGACTTTGAGGACCGTCAGCAAACTCCTCCATTTATGTGACAGCAAACTTACCATCATCCACCAATCATCAGACTGTCCAAACATTGGCCTTGGGGTCCAAAAAACAGTGTACTGGCTAAACAGCTATGCTGACTTAGCATTCTTGGTCCCCGGTGGCTGGAACATGGAGACACACCTTCTCCCAAATTACTTATATTCTTTGATGACATTTGGGGTGTAATTAATGCAGCTACATATCTTAGAGGATAGCTACCACCTAATGTGCAAGATAAAATCAATTGGTTTAACTCTGACATGTCCATGGCTTTCAAAGAAACCAAGTACTTGCGGCTAGTAGATGGGTCCATCTGGGGACTATGTACAATAGATTTGTTTGGCCTGGTTAGTGAGAAACATTGTTAGAAGTGAATTAAACTAAAAATTAATTAATTAGGGCATGGACATACCTGATGTGATGCTTGTCATACAATGGTGAGTTGGCCGTAAAGCAAACCCATCCACTATATGGCAGAGGATTGGACGGGCTGTTTGGGATAGGAACTTGAGGGGGTCAGCTCTAATCTTTGCAGAGAGGGAGTTCTTCAATAATGAAAGAAAGAAAAAAGAGGAGCAGAAGAAACTGAAAGGGAAGAAAAGAAAAAGAAGCTCACTGAATGCCCAAGGCAAACACTTGGCTGCCATTTTGTGCAAGACTGACAGAGCACCAAGAGCTTTAGTCATTAATGCAGGTGCTACAAATCCAGAGGGGGCTGATGACTCAACAGATATGGATTTGCAGGGTGAAGAGGAATCAACTGTGCATAGACAAGAAGTTAATATAAGAGTGGGGTTGAATAAAACAAGTCTGAGAGACGCACTTGAACGAGAGGCCTTATAGAAGCAACCGCAAGCAGGCTGGGGTAAGAAATTGAAGAAAGCCAAGGAAGAATTGAATATTGGGATTGATTTCTTAATAAATGCTGATGTACGTGGTGTAGGCTGCAGACAAACAGTGTTTGATGTCTATTTTGAAAATCAAGATGCAGGTGAGAATAATTGAATGGCCTATTATGGTGCGCTTTGTCAACTCACCTATTAATATTAGATTCTGATCACACCAATTGTGACCCATCAAACCCCACATCCGTTGCGACATCCACAACCCAGACCATTTCAGTCAATACAAACAGCAAGTCATTAAACCACCAAAAATATCCAAACGCTCCCAACTCAATAACTATTCCATGACTCTCGGGGACTTCTCACTTCGTGACGTGTTAGAGGATTGGAGGGAGGAACAGACAAGAAAAATATATGGGGAATCAGTTTTGGTGAATCTAGGACCCTCTGCTGTTATGACCAACCATATATTGGACCGCATTATCGGCTGTGCACACCATCAGAAGATCAAGACCTTGCAGGATTTGAAGAAGGAGACCAAATGGATGGAAGTGGAGACACTCGGGCTAGATGTCATTACAATAATCCAACAACATGTTCAATCATTCAGCCCTTACAACTTCCATACCAAGGAAAATTACAGGTAGTGCATGTGGACAGGAAGGACATACCAGTATGTCCTCTTTTTCTTCTTTTACTTTTAACTGATAACATTTGTAGTGTGCAGCCGTAAATGTGTTATGTATGGCAATGCTTGTGCATCAAGAGGGGGGAAGGAGAATGTAAGTCATACCTTATATTGCACTTACTTGTCACTCATGTTGTTTCCATAGCAAATAGTAGATATTGGTTGAATACCATAGACTATCTTATCCATTGTTTACTATGTGCTTATAATAATGATGTTCTTTTCCAAACTGTCCCAGCAGAACAAAACGGTTACTTTAACTCAAAGTTTTTATCAACAACCAGCGTGTGAATATTTTCCTGGCTTGCCAGTGGGATTGACCAGGATGTAATATCAAATTGCTCATCTGTGAATAAACACTGACTCATTGTGCTATTCAAGTTGTGATTGTAAAGTCTGACTTACTTCAGACCAACAGGATAAATAAAGTGTATGTTCAGCAGGAAGTTTGTCATATGAGTTGCATACTTATGTTTCCCAGTTGCTCTAGCATGGGTGGGATAGGATCGCTGAAAGTGGAAGTAGTGACACATTTAGTACCTATAACAAGTAATTGCACATGTGATTCTAACGTGACTATAGACACTCGCAAACAGGTTCTTTTGATTCTTCCCACCAACTGGTTTATCACCTCTGCACTTGTTAGACAGGGTGTCATGCCTGCCTTGCTCACCCATCTCTCCAACAGTCGGTATCACCTCAGATACACTTGAGTTAAACCGCATAGCCCATCTTTGGACACCTCAAATATCAATCCAGGCCTTTGTCAAGACATTACGTGACCTTCATGGGGTGAGTCTCAGTATGATCAGTGTATATTTCTAACTTGTTTTTTTCTAGGTTCCTTTTTGTTGTTATCTGTCCCGACAATTTTCCATAGCTTTTAATTTATTTATGTCTATTTGGAGCGGGGTGAAAATGCTGGTTAGGACTGCCTTGAACTGTGAGTCATGTAACTAGTGCCTGAAAACCTACAACATTGGGGATCTTGTAATGCTTTCAACCAAGAACTGTCACCATGACTACATTCAAAAGAGAGATGGCCATGTTGCTAAATTCATGCCACGCAATGACGGCCCATTCAAAATAATCTCTGCTGACCACAAACACTCCACCTACACACTAGACTTACCCAACTCACCAAAAGTTGTCCCCACTTTCCATGTCTCTCTCCTCGAACCTCATTGCAAAAACAATGATGAACTTTTCCCTTCCCACACCTTTGCTCGACCAGGGCCCATTCTCACCGCCGACGGACAACAAGAAAACTTCATTGATTGCATAATTGACGAGCGGCGTGTAGGTCATGGCAAACAGTACCTCTTCCAATGGCTTGGTTTTCCCCCCGAGCACGATGAATGGATAAAACAAGCTGACCTTGAAGATTGTCAAGCTTTTGACAATTGGTTCACTGAACAACATCTCAAAAACATGGCCGGAGAGGGTGTAAGCCAAGGGCTTACAACTCAATAACATCATATTGCATCATAGGTCATGTACATCGGAATCCTCTTTGGAATCCTGCATTACTATATAATAATGTTGTCCACTACACTGTACATTAGACTACTCTCTTCCCTCTTGCTATCACATCCCAATTCCAATTCCAATTCCGCCTGTCCTCTTTGTTAGTGTTTCCACCATTTGGTGGTCTTCCACTTTTTTGTGAAGCATGTCTGTCCAGCATGCACATATGTTGTCAAGGGGAAAGAGGAGTTAAAGTTCTGGATGCTCTATACAATGGATGGTAATGACTCATTGAAGAAAATTGTTAGAAGGACCACTCCTGAAGACAACAACCAACTTGTAGTGAAGGCTGTAAGAGAGCTTTCTCAAAGTACAACACTTTGGCTGGCTCAGTCTGATATGCCAGTGTTTTTCACCAAAGACAGGCAATTGACACTTACTTCAGACATGAGGATGAATTTGAAGTATACTACAACCTCAGTATGTACTAAATCTGTGCTACGCAAGATATACTGACACCTAATCTTCTATTAAAGCCAGCTTCTTGTACAACAACTACCAACAAGCTCTGGAAATCTTGTCCAAGAGTTCCATTGGACTTAAAGATACAGTCCATGACCTTGGTGTGATGGACAAGAGTGTATTCAAGCAATGGCTGAAAGAAGAGAAATAATATTTGATGAACTTGCAGAAAGAACCCACCAAAGAAACATTACACATGGAGTATTGGCAAAAGCTGGTCAATACACAGGCTAACAGGTGAGTGTGTTGTTGAACATGGTGACAACTATTGGCTCACTTGTAATGTCCTATTGCTAGCATAGAGCTTGAGGCAATCACAAAGGCATGGGAAGCTACACAAGTCCTGACAAAGGAGCAGCAAGTGGCTCGCTGAATTGCTATGGAAAACTGCAAGAAGAACCTCAAGAATGTGCAACAGTATGAGTTGAAGTTACACATCTCAACTCGGTGGACACCAAGTTCTCAGGAATAGCAAGAAGTGGGGAGGATGGTAGCAGTGCGTTAATACCAATGGGCACTCAACCACCTTGAAGGTCTTATCGTTGCCTGCATTTTTGAGTTATCAAAGATGAACCGCTCACAAACAGCTGAGCCGTTAGTTTTTATATTACAGTACATAAATTACAGCAGTTACAGGATATGCATTGCAAAAGCATATTGGCAAGGTGTTGCAGGCACAATCTGCGGCCATTAGGACTGCCCTCAATTGCTACAATACTACAGCCAGGGCCCTGACACCCCCCGTCGCCAACTTGAATAAAAAAAAGTAATAGAGTACACATTTCTTTCAGATTTTGACTTGCTACGCAATACCTGTCAGGAGATGTCTCATCGGCCCTGGGCAAAGCCAGCTGGCCGGTTGGCTATGGACTTCTACTTCAAGGCCTGCCATGCTCGTGAGGAAATCAAGCGGCTCAATATTGAGATTCACCAAGTTGCCACCTACCTGAGGGATGAAGATAAGTATCTGCAAATATGTGAAGAACAGATTTGTCCAGCAAGTCCTGCTCTAGCCTACCAAATACGCATTCATTACATAAAACAGGGCTGTTTAAATGCACATCATGTACTCCATCTACTAGACATTGTCAAGCTCCCGGGGTTCAGCGGTATGATAGTACCAGGGGAAAGAACACAAACAGGAGTAGGTGAGAGTAGAAGTATTCCTATGGCAAAGCTACCTTCATTACTTGTACCTGTCTCTCATTCCCCTTGGGTTGGACAGCCAAGTGAAGACAACATATGCAAACAAAGGGATAGCCCAGAGGACCTAGAAGAAGAGGAAGAGGAAGACGAACATGTTGAGGAGGCCTCTGAAGCGGTACTAGGCATTTTGGAGGTATCTGAGGACACTTAGGACATAGTTTGCTTTATATTGAGTTGCATTTGTTGCTTTGAACTACTAACATTCAACATACATTGTATGCTACTATCATAAGTAAGATTGTTGAACTCGCTGTCTCATACAGCGAGCTCGACCCATTACTAGTACCTGACACATCCTGTGACGACACATGACAAATTGAGTATTTGTGACATCGCTGGTAGCAGTGAGGAAATGCTGACACTATTGCAATGACACCACATTCACCATATGGGGGATCTGGGTTGCTGGTCCTTTCTGGAGAGCTGTGCTTGAAGTAACTAGCCGTGCAATCAGCCGGAGGTAGTAAGGCTAATTAGCGGACTTGTGTGGGAATAACAGGTATCCTGTTCTTCTCTGCTTGCCTTAACCTCAAAATCAGTGTATGTAATTCCCAGCAGCTTTCCAAACCCTGGATAATCCTTATGGAACCCAGATCCTGGTCCGGACATAATTTGGCCTTGCAAGCTAAATCACCCTGGTGCCAGTCCGGACATATGGAGCTGTTAGGGGCAACCCAGCCCGGTACCGAGTCCAGACACAATTTGAATGTGACTGGTCACATGATGGGTCTATACATCAATCAGGTGACTTCCAAAAGTAAAAGTGTGAAAAATAAAAGAAAAGGAAAAGGAGAATAAAGTAAAATAGATGCCGGAAATACTGTCATAACAAGTATCACATAGTCTGATAGCTGTTCCGGCCTATTTTGGGCATAATTTATTAAGAACAAAGCTTGAAGGAAGTGTCTAGCCACTTGCTGAGAGCAATCAGGGACTAGAACTAGAGTCCAATGTGAGTAACTATATTATTAGAGAGTATGACAGGTATACAGTACCTAGAGTCCAATGTGAGTAACTAGAGAATAGGAAGCATTGGACTCTGCAGTACTGTCCGAAGTTTTGTAAACAAAGGTAAACAAAGCAGCCACAAAGGCAAAATAATAGAGAACACAATCAATAGTGAATGATAGAAGAATAGATAGAGAAAGGAATGAAAATATATAGGTAGCACAAAGGTGCAGAATCACCAAAACTAACATAATTAGGCAAACTGTTATATCTGTGCCACAGGCCAGAAAACCTGAACCTCGGGACTAGGAATGATAAAGTTTGGTTTGGATAAATGGTTCAGAACCAAGAACTGCCAAACTGAACTTTATCATCCCTACTCAGAACAGTCAGAAACCCCCAAGTCCAAACTCCTGAATCTTTGGTCTTTCCGGACTTATGTTCCTTGTGGTCTACCACCTTGCGTGGGCCTGTAACTTGCTCCTATACGGTACTCCAGATAACCACTCTGAATTCCAATTCTCCTACCCTGGGCTTCAGTCCACTATGCATTTCCTCCTATGTCAATGTTTGAGCTCCAAGTGGATATGGGAGGCTTAAGTGTATACTGACTTGATTTTTATCACCAAATATTGTGATCAATATGCAAATGTCTCTTTAAGGTGACAGACTCTCACAAATCAAAAGAAAAAGGTAAATGTAAGTTTGAACAAGGACATACTGACAGTTTGCATTAATAACAGCCACACAAACAAAATAAAGGTTGCAGCACAAACACTGGTGATCTCCTGCTAGTGCTGTTGATAGGCCCTATCTGCCTCCCCAGTATTATCCTAGCCCTATCTCAAGTAAAGACATTGATGTAAAAAGTCCATATCATACAACCAAACATTTAGTTAGTCTTGTCCCAGCAGACTGGACCACAGAGGCCTTATACAGCCTTCATCTAGCAGGACTGAGCTGCCTATGCTCAGGAATATTAACAATTACATGATCCCTTGATGCAGTTACTCTATCAGGCACCACCATCATCTGCTCAACATCTGGGATTTGTTCCACCTGCATCTTTTCCCTCTATTAATTTGCTGCTGTCTATGTCCACCAATCCAACATTGATCCCCCTGTTGTTGATCTCCCACTGCCAGTGTCTGTTCCCCCTGATCAATAGCCCATCTCATCTGATTATACCTGATAACCGCTTGGCATCCAATCCCAGGAGGATGCACATACTTACAGTCAGGTGAAGCTCTCTCCTGCAATGAAACAATCAACACAAGAGTTATCCAGGTTTAAAATTTTTTTAAGTGTTCTATATATTTAGTAACTACTATTTTAGCCAGTTGCCCCAATGACATCAGTCACCAAAGTGCATCACACTACTAATCCTCTCCCTGTTTGCCTCCTATGCCTACACCTGCTACAGCAATTTTGCTTTTCCCCTTGCACCAACATCTTGTGCAGCTGCAACCATAGCAACTACAACAGTGAATCAGAAGTGCAAAAATGTGGTGGTCCTTCCTAGCATGACCAGAGCACATTCAAGAAGCATAGTTGAGGATAATGAGGTTCATCCTCACTGAAAAGACTATACCCTCTTTAACAGAGAAAATAGCTGAAGCCAAGAAAATCCTAGGTAATGCTTCCAGGACTATTGAGATTGGCTTTGGACTTGGCACCCCTCCCATGGATAACTGTTTGGATTTGAAGGCTTTTACATTCTCAACAGCTAACAACATTGTCAACAAGAAGACAACTGTGTTTCTTCACAAAATGGATGCCAAGGGGAACTCATCACCTTCTTCACCCACCCAGCAATCCCTAACTTGATCTAGACCACACTCAGAAATGCTAGGCCATATCTGTTAGACTTCTTCTTTTCACTAATAGGATAAGTCTAGGTATTTTGTCAGTATTGGAAAATGATATCTACTGTAAGTACTCACCTCAGTCTAGTAACAAAAAGACTGAGGTGTCAAAGAGCTAAAATGAGCATAAAATATCTATGAAGGATTCCAAAGTTTTAATACTAAAAAAGGAAGATGATTCTCACAGTTGAGAATCCAAAAACTCAGTGTAGGCATACTTGTAAGTGTAAGTAAATCTTGTCTGTATGTAGGATCCATATTTGATATGATAGAAATTAGCTATTAATGTAAAACCAACATCCTCCCTTGAGCCTAGCATACTGGCAGTTTTTGTTTGAATAAATTAAGTTTCAGTTTTGCAAGGGCTTTGGGGAGCATGTCTGTGGGCATCTAGTCCATGGGACAAAATGTGACATGGGCATCACACTGGTCTATGAGGTAACAGATGTAGTGATAGCGTATATTGATGTGCTTGGTTTGTCCGTGGAAGACATTGTTCTTCAATAGGAATATGGCGGATTAATTGTCAACTAGGAGAGTAGTTGGGAGGGTAGGAGGGGAACCTGTAATGTCAGTGAGTAGGTTCCTAAGCCAAAGGGCTTCTTTTGCAGCCTTGGTGAGTGCCATATATCCACTTTTAGTTGTTGATAGCGCTACTGATACTTGCATTTTAGAGCTCCAGGATATTGTAGCACCGTTGAAGGTGAATACATGGCCGGAAATGGAGCATCTGTGAGGCTGAGAGCCCCAGTTGCTGTCTGAGAATCTGGTAAGTTCTTCCTTATTGGGTCCCGTTTAAGTATCATATAATGTGTTTGACCGCCTCCCAATGGACCTTTGAGGGAATATTGGAGAATTGGGCAACCATTGATAGAGGGATGGCAATATCAGGCCTTGTACCTGTTGAAAGGTACATCAATTTACTCATTACTTGTCAATACGGTATGTTTCTCCATCTCATCCTTTTCCTGTGAGTTTGTGAGACATTGATCCTTGTTAAGGAACTGTGTAGGCTCCATTAGTGTCAATACGGGTTTGCTGTCACTCATATGGAACAATTTGAGGACAGATTCAATGTATGCCTGTTGGGATAATACTAAGGTGCATTTTTCTCTATTCCTTTCTATCTTTATCCCTAATAACCAGTGGATTTCACCCAGATATCTTATCTTGTATTTTTTGCATAGGTGCATTTTGAACTTTTGAATTGTAGATATACTTTTAGCGCTAACAATGATATTGTCTACAAAGACGCCGACAACTAACTGGTCTTGGTCCGTCCATTTGAGGAATAGAGCATGGTTGTATTTGAATTGCGTGAATCCCATTCACTCAAAGGTGGAGCTAAGTTTGTTGTACCACTTCAGACCAGCTTGTTTTAAACTGTATATCCCTTTTTGTGGTTTGCATACTATCCCCTTTTGCTCAGGTGTTAGCAGGCCAAGTGGAGGGTGCATGTAGACTTCCTCATCTAGATTGGTGTTCAGATATGCACTTTTCACATCTACTTGGTGTATTTCCCAGCCGCGGGAGTATGTGTGGGCTAGGATAGCCCGATGCAATGTCATCCTTCCAATGGCTGAGTAAGTATCAATGTAGTCAATACTATATTTTTATCTGTTGCCGTTCGCTATTAACCTAACTTTGTATTTTAGAATTTTTCCTCCGCCATCTTGTTTTATTTTCATTACAAAGTGGGATCTTATTACGTTAACTTTGGCAGGGCGTGGGATGAGGTCCCAGGTGCGTAATTGCGGCAGCTGATTAATTTCTTTTTGTACAGCTGATTCCCATTTGTCTGTGTCAGGTCCTTTCAATGTGAGGTATAAAGGAGGACTGTCAGGGTCTTGGATATGAGTAGCGAGTGCATATTTGCCATATTGATCTAGTTCAGCTGATTTCATGTTTATCTTGCCCTCATTCAGATCCTTATAGTACCTAGTAGGTTTATTCACTACAGATTATTTGGGGTGATCAACTGGTAGATCAATAGGATGGGAGGTGGGTGCATTTGGGGTGGATGTGAGAAGATCCAGAGCTGTTCCGGTGGTATTAGGTATGTGTGTCATGGGTCTGAATGTGACATTGCATTTTTCTGGCCAATAGATTCTAAGACCTTTACTTTCACCATCATAACCTATCAATCTCCCATTTTTTGCCCTTGAGTTGAGTTTGCCGGCACTCAAGCCTTTCATGAAGACTGTAGAGCCAAATGGCTGAATTTTTGCTAAGTTTGGTTTATTGCCATGAACCATTTCATATGGGGTTATTTGGAGATTGGTTGAGTGATTAGTTTTTGATCCAGGTTGCATGTTTTAGGGCCTTGCCCCATACAAATTTCAGCAAATTGACTTTGAACAACATGGCGCGAGCATGCTCGGCCAGAGTATGATTCAAGTGCTCGGCAGTACTGTTCTGTTCAGGTGAGTCATGAATGGTCAATTCACGAATAATGCCTTAACATTCGAGATGCTCTTTCATCTTCTCACTGACACATTCTCCACCACTATCAATCCTCAAGATTCTGATGGATGGTACATTTTTCTGGGTCTTCAACCAAGCTTCATATTTGAGATATGCATCCATTGCATCATTTTTCTGTGCAAGTAAGCGGATGATTGTTTCCCTGGTGAAGTTGTCTGTGAAAGTTACCATATAATGTTTGCCAGTGATGTCATTGACTGAGGCTGGACCCCATACATCCGAGTAAATTTGTTCACCATACAAAAAGGCTTGAGTTAAAAATCCCTTGGGGAATGGCTTCTTTTGAGCTTTTGCATTTATGCATTTGTTGCAGAAGGAGTGTGTTTGAGAGCTAAGTTTTATTCCTTTTATGGCTTGTGATGAAACCATTTTTCTAAGCATCTGGTGAGATGCATGACCTATGCATTGTGCAGCTGATCTAGAGTCATAATGACTGTTTTATTGCCTGTGATTGAAGCTGTATCCACTTTGGTCCTTTCGGACAGAGTGCCGTTGAACTGATATAGTCCTTTTGTTGCAGGTACACGGACTATTAAGTGACATTTTGGTTTTGGGGATAGAACATGGCACATTCTGCTCTCAAAGTGGACCGTGTATCTGATTTTCTCTATGTGGCTTATGGATATTAGAGTGGATATCATGTCTGGGTGCATATAGGACATCACAGAGCATCACTTATGTGTGTCTGTTACCATTTGGTAACATCAGGATGATGTTGCCCTTTCCTATAGCTTACAATGAAGGTCTGTTGGCTGTGCAAATTGTTTTGGGTGTTATTTTGTTGCACAATGTGAAAAGGTTTTGAAATGGGGAAAAATGATGGTTTGCACCAGAGCTAATGATTGCTGGGTATTTATTGCTTAGGTGAGTCAGTTCTTTGTGATTGGGGCTGTCCATTGATGCCATCAATATATAGTGGCGTGTCTTTTACAGCTGATGGTGAGTCTTTGGGTTTTTCATCTTTGTTTTTACCCTTCTCATTGTTCTCTTTTGACTGATCACTTTTCCTTTTTTGTCTAGGAGCACCATAGTCTTTTAAGAGTTGACCAGGTTTATTGCAATTGTAGCAGGTACAAGTTTCTTTTTATTTGTTGTAGCTTTCTCGTCCGTTTTGGCTGTTAGAGCATTAGACTGACTACCCTTTATTACAATAACACATTTTCAGACCTTTAATTTTCATTCTCCTCTTTAACCTTTTTACTGTAGTTTTCACACTCCGTGCCATGCGGCACTTTCCCTTTTGTTCAAACTCCACTTTCTCGCGCGGCACTGCCTTTATTCTTATTTTAGCTACAAGTTTCTCACGCAGTGGAGCTGGTCACACGGGCTACGCCCTCTGACATCATCAGCCACTGCTTTATCAACTGTATAATACAACATGTACAAACAACCTGTAGTAGTACATATACTGTAACAACCAAGAGTTAGTTACTCTGGCGCACACAGGAACACACTATAAAGGTAGTGAATTGGGAGTGGTTACCCCTTAGGCTGCAGAGAGTTTGTTGGTTAACAATAGAAGGACTCGCTGAGGAGTCTCCTTGATCTATTGGGGTATTTATACTAATACAGAGTGTTTGTACCTATGTACTGTACAGTTGATAAAAGCAGTGGCTGATGATGTCAGAGGGCGCAGCCCGTGTGACCAGCTCCACTGCGTGAGAGACTTTGTGTCTGAAAGAAGAATAAAGGCAGCATCGCGCGAGAAAGTGGAGTTTAGAACGAAAAGGAAAGTGCTGCATGGCACGGAGTGTGAACTATAGTAAAAGGTTAAAGTGGAGAATGAAAATTAAAGGAAAGGTCTGAATATTTGTGTTATCGTAAAATATACCTCAATAGATCCAGGAGACTCCTCAGTGAGTCCTCCTGTTGTATCCTCACAACTAACTTGTTGAAGTCTAAAGGGTAACCACTCCCTCATCATCATCTCTATAGTTGGTTCTAGTTGTGCGCCAGAGTAACTAACTCTTGGTTGTTACACCCTTTTTGGGTGACATTATAGATCTTTGATCCGCTTTGTGGTAGAGTCAGATTATATAGATGTCAGGGGGTAGGTCATTATCCAGAGATTCATATGCAAGAGTGGTTGATGAAACAAATGACCGGTAGGAATTGGAAAGTGATGATGATATAGTAGACACAAAGTCTTGATTGGATACAGGACCACCCATGTCTGCTAAGTGCAAACAAAGACTTATCATTTTATCTAGGTGGGTCCTCAAATTCTCATTGTCTTTACACTTGAGATTATGTAGTTGTTGTTTATAACCACTCTGCTTTGGGTATTGAAGTACCCACAGACTTTAGTTCTTCACCTTGTGCTCCAAACATAATATCTTTAGGGGTTTTTTATTAGCTTCTAGCTCTCTTCTTTTGCCCTTTTTGTACCATACACAAGGTTTGAACATAGATAAATGAAATATAACATATTGTGGTGTGCTTTAATTCTTTCCACAAGCTGGGCAATGCCAGTAAGAAATAAAAGACAGACAACCCATTGACTTAAGTGACTTTGTAATAGCCATAGTTATACCCTCTGCAAGTTTATGACTCAATATCCATTGATACTATAGGAGGGATACTTATATTTATTATTAGAACCTAGATATTTTACATTGCAGAGATTTTACGGGACCCAGGTTGGAGGGACTCCTCTTTCTTGGGCAACTTTTTTAATTAGGAAAAATTAAGGAGTAGAGAAACATATTTAAAAAAATACATGTACACTGATACAACTTTACAAACTAAAATGACCAGGTTACAAAGCAAACAAAGTGATTGTAGTGCTGATAAGCAGTCTTCACCAGCGCTTCTTGCATGTCAGCAATAAAAATGTCCCAGTCTACCCTCAACTTGGGATTCACCAAAACTCACTTGGGACTTTCTTGCACTGACATCAGTGACTTGAATGTCCTCCTCTTCACCACTACTACTGCTCCCATTTTCTTCCTCATTCTCACTGTCTTCATCCCCAGTGTCCTCAACCAACTCAGAATGCTCCTCAATTTCCATAATATGGACAAGCATTGCCTGGAAAATCCTATTGATTTCTGCAAAAAGCCTCAGACAATTTCCAGGTAGGAATATTGGGACTAAAACAAAATAGTCAGTAAAGTAAAGAGATACAGAATATTACTTACAATTTCAAGATACCTAATTAACTGTTTATCCTCCACTTGGTAAATATATACACTACCTGAAAACCTCCCAGCCCATTTGTGTCCATCAGGAAAAATAATGGGACCCTAAGCTGAACCCTGTGGAGGTCCAAACTCTCTGGGATTATACCACTTGGCCTTGGTATGGTTATACTTCTGGGGAGGGGGGAGGACCCCTTGTTGTGTTCATCCAGATTGATAATAAGGACATCTTTCAAGGATGGGTAGTTAAAGGCATCTTTCCTCAAAACACTGAGGCAGCCTTAGAAGCTCTTGGAAGTACAAACCTCCATCAGCATTAACATTTTATAGTCACCCTTACTATAAAACCATCTCCCAATAAAACCATCTGGTACTCTACTTGTTCTATTACACTGCATAGTAAGGTTACATCCAAATGTAAGGGAGATGGTGAATTTATTGTAGCTGGAATATTTGATTGCCTCTTCCATATTCCCCATCAGGGTCATGGTTGGTTGCTCATGGAGAGCAGAAGGGTACTGATAATGAGCATATATGTATATTACTGTCCCGTATATATAGAATTTCTAAACCTTTAGACCATGGGCTAAAAAGCTTGGGCTTGAGTGCTGAAGTGCTGAAGTATCATTTTCAGCCCATATAGTTATAATTGTCAGGCAATAAATACAAAGCTATATAACAATAAAAGATGTCTGGCTAAGTCCTTGAGGAAAGGCGGTGGATCAGAGTATTAAGATTGTATAGGCGCAAATCCAAACTAAAATTGGACTAAGGAATAATACATCAAGTATATACTCCTTATATAATAAACTGCAGAGTTTAGTCCGAAGGGAATAAAGAAATCAAGAGTGGTCTGGTCTGACCAAACAGTTAGCCAATAAGAAAAAGGAGGGAATGGTATGATCTATTGTGATTACTAATTGTGTGGGCAAAATCCTTAGTAAGAGATGTACAATTGGCTGGATCAGTAACCCATGAGAAGGTGCTGAGTCACAGCTTATATTGCTGATTAATCTCTTGCTGAAGTATTCCCCGGCATAGCCTTTGATTAATGCTACGTCATTGGGATATCTTCTGAAGGGTCAGAGAGGAGTCTCCTACATTGTAAGTATGATAGGACGTGAGTGTGAAAGGAAAACAAGAAGAAGAAAGATAAAAGTAATAGAGTACCAGCTATAATTTCCAATCCAATAGCAAGAGGGGTGACGGGAAACAGGTTGGATAGCCATAATTTGATAGAAATGCAATAGAAAAATTGATTCCTTACAATAATATTACTATATAGATGGGGCCAGTAGAGTCCAGCAGAGTGTACCAGCCAGGCCATGTTAGACGTGATATTATTGTGCCCATCCTTGACAACCTGGCTGGGTGAGAGTCTGCTCATTGAAGACCTCTTCCTACTTCTCACCTTTTTAGGCATCATTTTCTATATGATGTTGGATATGCAAATATCTCATAACTTCAAAATCCAGTGGTGCCTTGTTCTCGGGAGGCTCTCTAAGAATGTAGTGCTTACATTATAGATTTATGGACATACTTGAACAATGTGTTCCTGAAATGCTGTATTATATAATGCACTGACCAGTAATCATTCATTAAACAACCCCATACATATTTTTGTTGTCTACAGCAATGCAATGGGTTCTTAGACCTCCAAGTCATACATTCCCTCTGGTATTTTTTCCAGCTGGACATTATTGTTTACAAAACTTGCAGCACAGTGTATGATTGTCCTCTGCCAGAATATGGTTGTCATCATGTCCTGGGCATGATTACCAGTGTGGCCCAGATGAACTATCAAGCCAGCACTAAAGCAAAAGCCACAAAGGTTCAAAATATGTGCCCATCCATTGCTCAACTCTGTAAAATAGTAACCTCTGGTGAGCATCCCTGTAGCATGACATGCAATGCTCTGATTTCCCCAAACATTCTGTGCACCGCCAAGTTCCTTCTCTCACTAAACAAATAATGATGGATGTACTTACTCAATGGACTTGTCTTCTTTGGAGGTATAACCAATGGCTCAAGGACAGGATGGTCAATGTCTTAGATGGGGAACATATCATTTTTATAGGGAGTTTGACAGGGTGTTGATAAAGTTGATTGGGATATGTGGTCTTTCACACTTATTTGTGTTGCTCTATATAATTATCAGTAAGATACTTCTATAATGGTAATATAGATATACTCACAGTTGGTTGCCTCAGTAAAACTGAGATAACTACAACTGTGATGCAATAAGACGCACTACAACTGTGGCTGCACTATTGGTCATCAGAGAAGCGGATATGTCCTAAGTTTATAGTATGGATTGTGTATTATAACAGGAAGGAGCTGCGGCCCATGCTAAATAATTCTGCAGAGAAGAGATGATGTTGTTAAACCAGATGCCAGTTTGAAGATGCTCATACAAGATATTTGTGATAGAAGGCAGTGATTGATATAGAGCACATGCTTTTAGTTTATATTAGCTTTTATGACACCCAGGCCTCATGAGGCTAGTTAATTTGTTGGATTTGGCACTAAACTTCTTTATATGAAAGCAATATATCAAGGAAAGCATTAGCTGGGAGGTAACTGACATGTTCCGGGCCTTAGCCGGAGACTCGGTATGGAGTTAAGGCAATAATATTATTGCTCAGATCTGACCAAAGAGCCCAAGATCTGCTTGGAATGGATGAACATGCTACTCAATTAACTGAAAATTTGCACTCAAACAGAAAAGAAAGGTAATGCTCGTCTTCAAACACACACCTTACTTTTTGACTTGTACCACATTTAATCATGCCTGAAGTACTTTTTAACAATGCACAAATTGAAATACTCAATACACATTTGGAAGAGTTCTGGGGTGCAAGTTCTCTACAACAGAGACGTGTACTTGATGATGCCTGGAATAAAGTCAGAGAAAATTTGGGGGAACATGTAATAACCAACATCAAGGAATTAACAGACATAAAAGAGGTATAATCACTCTTAATTGTCAAAGTATATCATTATGTTTACAATTAAAATTGCAGCAGATCAGGTATGGGTTGTACAGCCATAGTGGTAACAAAGAGCCCGGGAACAAGGTTGTCGGGCATAGAAAGTATGTAGGTCTGAACCAAGTGCTCAACACTGTGAAGAAGAAGGAGCTGAAAAAGAGGATGTGGGACCTTTATAGAGTGAAGCTGGGGCAGTCAGGTTAAATTAGTAAACTGGAGAGGGTCCTGAAGGTAATGTTGACTGAGCTCAACAAGGAGGAGGTGGCTGAATTAAAAGAAAAGTGTGAGGAGTGGTATATTGATGGGCTATCAGAGGAAGTGAAACAAAAATGAGTATGATGTCTTTTACTCATCTGGAACAAATAGTTACTTAAGGTACCCAGAGCTGCTGAAATGAAGGGTAGAAAAGTAGTGAAGAACTTTCAGATGCAAGCAAGCCGGGATCTGGGAATGTTAAGTTTTGTGCTCAGCGCTGATAGAGATACAAATGGAGCCATTTGCATGTCCTTGTAAGTAGTCTATGGACCCCGGGTTTCAAACCAGGTGTGTTGTTCCTGAAACTGATTGCTTTAATTGCAGCCATGAGCAAAATGACAAAGCCACGTTTGAGCTTTTTAGCAAGGTACAACCCAACTGGCAAAATATAAAGATATGGGAGGCTTGGGGCAAGTATGCATAAAGTCAGTTTGGTAAGTTTCCAGCTTAATTAATAAACGTCCCAGAGTACTGAATTTTAAGTAGCTGATATAGATGGGTTTGTGCCAAAGAAAAGCCTCCCAAGCAAGTAGAAAGAATAGATCAAGCTTCCACTCAACGATAATGGATATCCCATCCTTGTAGATGAGGATCTGTCATCTCTGGCAACTTTTTCAGATCTACAGGCTATCATCAGGTCTTTTCTGACCACACATTAACAGATTTCCACTGGAGGCACCAAGGCTTTAGTACCTTGGACCAGCCTTGTGGAGTGCCCTAGAAACTATATTGACTTGTCAAAGGGGTACATACCTCTGGGGTACAAGTTTTGGGAACCATCTTATATGACAAAGCAGGAGACAGACCCAGGGTCTGTTGAACCATTGGTATTGGGGTATATATACTAATACAGAGTGTTTATACTTATGTACTGTACAGTTGATAAAGTCAGTGGCTGATGATGTCATGGGGCCTAGCCCACATGACCAACTCCACTGTGTGAGAGAGTTGTATCTAAAATAAGAAGAAGGCAACGCGGCGCGAGAAAGAGGAGTTTGAACAAAAGGGGGAGTGCCACGTGGCACCATGTGTGAAAGCTAAAGTATACAAGGTTAAAGCGGAGAATGAAAATTAAAGGAAAGGTCCGAAAATTGTGTTATTGTAACATGAGCCTTGGGCCAGGACCTTGTGGATGCTGCCAATGGTCAATATTATCTTAACTTTTAGAGCTACAATGTGCCAAACGACTACTTTTTTGAGGCTGCAAACTGTGCGGAGTCTGATTGATGTGATAATAGAGGCATGCCTTGGCTTAATAACACAGAAGGGAAGGCTCCCACACACCACCATTAAATTGGAGCAGACCTTATTAACAATATATTGATTGACTATGATTGGTATTGATATTGAATTAGGTCAGCAAGAGAAACTAGATTTGTGTTTACTATTAGCTGCTTGAATATAGGGGCATTGTCACGCATTGCAAGATTTCCCATTTCGTGCTTACTAGCCGCACAAATTGAAAAAAGGGTTGTCACAAGGTGCAACACCAACACCGTGGTATGAGTTTTAGGCGCTGTACGGGAACAAAAAATTGAAAAATAAACTTTGCACATTTTTAGTGCCACAGGCTGCCGATATGCCACAAGGAGTGCCATGCCGTGCTTTTTGACTCAGACCACCACCAACTCAATAAACTCATGTCCAAGAGGAAAGCCTCAGGCTTAGGCCTCAAGGCTTCTTTACGCAACTATAAACGACCTCGCTACTGGTTGAGAGTGAATAGAGAAACAGATATGGCCACCCACTCCAGCAACACACCTGACTACCAAGCTCCAAATATCATATTTGCGCCATCTGATACTAGCGATGGCCATCTTTCCACTAGCACAAAAGACAGGAGGATGTGGTCAGAGGCAGAAGAAGCTACACTGATTTGAAATCTCATCGATCTGAGGCTGGCAATGGGCTCAATTTCCCAAAGAAGTTCTGGACAAAGGCTGCCGTAGAATTGCAGAAGATCCACCAGGTTAGCCCTGCGAAGGAGGCCAAGCACTGCGCTGGAAAATGGGGGAGGGTACGTACCATTGATTAACTGATCTATGGTATTTTCTTGACCGATTATTAGCTGAGAACCACCTACCAAACTGTCAAAGCACTGTCAGAGCAGTCGGGCTTTCATTGGGACGACATTGGCGGTGCAGGTATCACAGTGGAGAGTGAGACAGTATGGGCTGAGTATTTAAAGGTAAGTACTCACTTCATACATTGCGATGCTCATCTCATCCATCTCTAGAAGAACCCTGGCGTCAAGATTTTTTGCAACAAGGGCTGGACCCATTTCTCAGCAATGGACAATCTTATGTGTGGCCGTTTTGCCAAGGGAGCAAACATTTTTCGCTCTGCCCCCCCTTCTGTACCTGTACCAAATAGCCCTCCTGTGTCTAGCATTACCCCATCATCATCTATGTTTCCTCCCCCTGTAGCTATTACCCCACAAACGCCTAGGAGTGTTAATACCAACATGCATTCCTATGATGCCAATGTTAACCTCTGGCTAGGGGGTGTACCATCTCCCAAATCAATGCCCGCTCCCTCAACTTTATCATCAACTACCTCCCGCAGGTCTTCTAGTAGCAAACAAAAGGAGCGTGATGCAGAGTTAGATGCCGATGCAGATGCAGATGCCATGTCGGTTGTCACTCGCAGCAAGAGCACAGATATAACTGTGCATAGCCGCAGCTCTAAAACCCCTTGTGTGGCTGCCAATGCAATGACCGCCACTGCTCTGACAGGGTTGAATGATACGCTGGGTCAGATTGTGCCCATCATGAAGGGAATCACGGACACGATCCGAAATGAATTTGACACCCCTTTAACAAAGCAGGGCAGTTCTTCCGCCGTCATACCATTATCCGCCCTATGCAACAGATTTGCATAGGGCGTGGATCAGTTCTTTCACAAAGATCTGATTAGTAGTCATGTTATGTTTCTTGCTTTTTTGTTTGATCAATGTAACAGAATGTTTGCTCGTCCGCCACAAAACATTAGAATTATTCATAAGAAAATGACATTACATCATACCAATTGTCTTCTATGCAGCTCGGCCTGATAATCCTCCCACATCAAACTCGCTATCTGATCCCTCCTGGCGTTGGCTTCTGCCCGGGTTGCTTCGGCGGGGGGGCCTGAAGCTAATGTACCTGTGGCAGCGCTGGGGATGGGGTCTTTAATTAGGGTGTCATCAAAGTCTACAATATCATATGGGTCATGGACCCGTATGAAATTGTGTATCATACAGAGGGCAGGGGGTATGCAGGCCTGAATAGCCATGTCGTACTCAGGAGGGAGCACGAGAATGCGGAAACACCGTTTGAGGATGCCAATGATCCGCTCAATGACGTTGTGAGCGGATGCATGTTGAAGGTTGAAATATTCACGTGGGTTTTGAGGCCTAGAAAATGTTAGAATAAGGTAGAAGAGGATAAGGAGGACTTACCTGCAATTTCCGCGAGCATACTCCTACAGGTGGTAGTGTTCACCTCTATAGGGCACTAAGAGCCGAGGACAAGAAGGGAACCCTGCATCCGCTAGGTATTACTTACCCTGCGGAATGCGAAGGTTACTCATATGAGCGTCATGGAACAAAGCAGTGTCTGCAACAGAGCCCTCCCACCCGCTAAGCATGTAACTAAATTTTAAATCAAACATGCAACAGGCGAGGCAGTTTTGAGATACCCTGCCCTTGCGGTTTTGTGAGGCCTGGCGTTCAGAGGCAGAGGGGGAACACGCAATATGTGCCCCATTGATGGCGCCAATAGCGCCTTCAAAGTGACACAGCTTGGGGTTGTCAATGATATAAGGCAGCGGTGGATCATTTTCAGCGGGTAGATGGACATAGATGTTGTAGATGTCTGGGGAAGTGAATGCTAGAAGCATTTTCTTGAAATATCTGTATAATAAATAGTAGGTTAGTTGAAAGAGGGCAGGGGGAAAACATACCTAGAAATTGTATTGCTTGATTGCTGGAATCATTCACCGATATGGCAAACTGATAAGCCAGTGACGCAGGCGTATTGATATATTGCAAGTTGCTCCTCAATGTGGACATGCCTTGAGTCAACGTATTGATAGCACTTGAGTAGATCTACCAGCCTAAAGAAAACATGGCACCTGACACCAAGTTCTGCACGAATGCGGTCAGGATGACCACTCAACAGCTCAAGGACCCACCCATGGCCAGTCTAAATGGAGGTGTGATATGGCTGGGGTATGGCCTTGTTTAGTTGGTTGTTGGCTACGAGTGCTGCTGATTGCGCAACCGTTTGGAGACCAATGAGAGCGAGGGACAGTTGTTGAACACATAGAAGTAGTGCTGCTCGGCGCCTACATAACATTGATGCTTCCTCACTCTCTTCACGATCCTCCTCTCCCGTGCTGTCATCATCACTGCCCATTCCCGTATCTCTCAGTGTGCGATCATTGCCTTGATCTTCTTCCATTGTCTCTACAACGATGCCTGTATAACGGTGAGATTATCGTTCTATCTTACTATACGCGGGTACTAAAAGTTTTCTTTCTCCGCCTCAATGGCCCTCGTGACGCCACTTTCCCAAATCCAAAAATCAAGAAAAATGTCGCATTTTTTCGTTCCCGTACGGGGCCTTAATTGCTGGTAGAAATACGAGCTGTAGTCTATGCCATCACTGGCACGTAGAGATATAAGGTTCATTTATGGCACAGTTATGGGGCATTACTACTAATTGTGACTGGTAATCTCAATGTCCGGTAGTTTTCAGATGGAGTCCTAGCTTCACACCCTCTATCAGGATTTTAGTACTACGAAGGTTTAATGTTCCAACCGTAGTATTCTCATTCGACAAAAAATGCACTATTGTGGCCTCCCATTAGTCCCGGTAGAGATTGTCGTACTACCTCCCCAGCTCCGAACGTACCCACGAACCGTCTCTAATGCTCTCACCAATGTCGGCGGATTACCAGCCCTCATAACCAAGGTATCAACCCACTCATCCGTGATAGAAAGTGCATTGCGTGTGAAGATGGACTGGTAATATCGTTGCCGGAGAAAATGTCCGTAGACCAGCGGTGCAAGGAGAGAATTGTGAAAGGTCAAGGCGCCGAAAGCCACACGGACGAAAATGAAGAGTTCGATGAACGCCACCAGTTTCATGGCAGGATCATAGTTAGCTGTAGGGAGGCAAAGTGAGTTTAGATGTTCGTTGTTTCCGGGCAAGGCCTACATTTAACCCAAACTTGAAGGCTCTTTGATAGTGGATGAGATTGAGGTCCCCCAACAGCACTCGTAGAGCCCAATAATCGCGGCATGACAGTGGTTCGGAAGAAGGTTAGTACATGAAACAGAGAGAAAATCATATATGGTAATAGGGCAACTAAAGTTAAGTTAGTTTTAGGTTTAACTGTTCATGGGGCTAGGCGCACTGGCAACAGGTGAAGAGCTCCACCAAAAGAAGGCAACGATGAGATATTGGAAATTCTCAATACAGCAGTCAATGTATGCAAACTCGGGGTCATAGCTAATAATGCTCACCTCGTCAAGCAAAGCACGTTTAATAAACTGGACACTAAGGTTGGGGTTCTGTTTGACATGTCTATGTATTTGAATAACCTTATAGTATTGAATACGCACCCCCAAGGATTTTCTGTCAACCAACCAAAAATCAGATTTTGGTTCAGATTCGCGGTGCATGCACAACTTACTGGCATACAATAGCATAACTAAGCAAGCCTCCTAACAAGCCCACTGGTGTCTTTCATCAGAAGATATCATGAAATAGGAGACGACAATAGGACTAACTCTTGTACCACCAAGGCGAGATTGACTTCAACGTCACCCATGCTGCAATATACCGCAATGCTGAAACTAACAAGACTAAGTGGCCGCCCGCCCAAAGGTAATGCTATGTTGACGAACATAAGACCTGTATCATTATTTAAAAAAAGTATAGCAAGAGGGGTTTCACCTGCGATGTTGCCATAGACCCTAGTTTGCGAGAGGTGAACAGTGCAGTGCCAACGTTTTGCTGGCTAACACAGTCAGGCCTCTAAATTTAAACCACGAAACGGCGGACTGAAGGATTCAAACCCAGCAAGGGATAAACAGTGTATCCAGTCACAGGGTGCCGCAACGTCACACATAGAGATGACCACACACTAAGCCGCCCAGTAGGCCGGCCGAAAAATCGGTCATAGGAAGGAAGGTCTTTGCCCCCGGCAGGCCGCAAAGAATAGGCAGGAAGGTCCCTGGGTTATTCTGGGAGCATCCCAGCAAAGTCCCAACTAAAGCCCTATGATAGCTTTTTGCTTTGACTGAATCACTGGCATCAGGAAAACATGACTTGTGTATAAATGCAATAAATTGCAAAAATGTCTGTTATATCGAAAAATATCTGTTATATCTATAAGTGCAATTCTTGCACAGTCCTCTACTCTAAATGCATAAATATCAATAAATATTAGTTTAGAGTATTGCTATATTATGAATAGTGGTTTATAGCACAGTTGTTGAAATGACCTTGCACTTTTTGACTATAATTCACTCTAATTCGCTCTAAATGCAATGATATCAATCCATACTCAATTATATCCAAAAAAAAAACAATAATAAAGCAAATTATATTGATTTCAAAAAATGCTGCAGCAATAATATCTATAAAACAACATCAGATTGCCCCAATGTTGTACAATTATTCCTACAACTATTCCTATAAAAATACTTGAAGTTAAGAAAATGTTACAATATAAATATGTAGTGAGCTCTTACCAAACATATTCATCAATTTCTCAAATATGCTGCCAAGTATGTAGGAGAGCATTTTATATTATGATCCCACCTTGTAGAAGTATAATAAGTAGAGATTTATGGTGATTAAGGTGATGTACCTGGCAGAAAATGATGTCTCTGAGAATTCTATTATAGCATTATTGACAGCACCTAGTAAAACACATTCAAGCTGGTAGACAATTTTGATTGTTAGTTTATTTTATAAATAAACGAACAAATGAACACTTACCGTGCATGCTACTAGAGCTAGAAAAATGATGCCACATCATCACCTTTCATATATTAGGTCTTCCAGAAGTAGCCTAGAAATCGTAAATGGTAATGTATCAGTGTAGAATAAATAAGAAAGACCTTTTTATTTTGACATTGACATTGCTGGGGCTATCTAGGTTGGGTTGAAGGTTGAAGGAGGTGGTGATGGAGAAGTCATCATTAGCAAAAAATGGCCTTCAGCAGAATAGTAATTCAGAATAAACAAACAATAACACACCATACTGGGGCTTACAAACTGTTTCTAGGGCATCAGTGTTGGGGTGGCAGCCATCTCCATCTGGTACTTGTAATTGAATCCGGTGAGAGAAATTTTTTGCAGTCTGACTACTCTCTACTAGTAGCCAGGCTAGAATGATACCTTGGTAAAATAGCGAGACTTTAAAAAATTTGTGCAGCATTGTCAGCACTGTGTGACGTGACGAGGTGTTGCCACCACTGTGTCACACAATGTGGTGACAGGGAGGCGCAACTGCACTGCAGCGCAGTAGTACTTTCCCACAGTTGACAAAACACTATAGAGAGGTTTGACTGAAGCACTTCAAATTTTGGCTTCAAGGATAAATTCATGCTGGCTAACTTAGCATGTACATACAAGATAGCCAGCAAAATTCTACACTAGATATATTTTGTAGTGTTGATTGATATAACTAGCATCTTCATTAATTATGACTCTAGGTAATAAATAATTAAATTTGGTATAGTGTCACTAAATGCTTTAATCCACTCTGATATGCTTTAGGTGGAACTAATTACTATACGTGCCACAGCTGCTAAATTTATTCCAATATGATTCACTATAAACTGATATAGATAGCTTTAGATGCACATTTTGCCACAATTGCTATATTTGCATAATTACCTATCCATATCCAACTATAGCAAGATTATGTTTTCCTGATGGGCCTGGCTAATATTCCCTGAATCAAATTGAAAGTTGAAGTAGGTTGGAGAAAGGGACACTACAATGTTTGGTGGGTATTGAAGAACAATATTGGTATGTGTACTGTATTCTAACAGAAATACTTGCATAGAAATAAAGCACTCTGAATACTACCTTCACTGTGGAGCCATGATAACAAGCAGTTGCATCAAAGACTTGTACTTCATTCAAGTAGAGCCAGACAAATTTCTTTTATGTTGGAGGTTTCCTCATGTGGTCCATCCCCCTACCCACTTCAAGATGGTTTTTGCGGCTGATTGCAAGGTTTTGACATGGCAATATTTTTTCACCACACACAGTGACATTGATATGTTCCCTGATGCACAAAATCCTGAGAACATCATTGCATCATGCCAGCTTGAACCATGGGCAGAGGAAAGGTGTGAGTTGGACAAATGGAAGCTGTCAATAAGGGGCATGAGATAGTTTGTGCTTTGTGCAGGTGGCAAACAATGTATATTGGTGTGTCTATGGAAGCCAGACAACTCAGACAATTTTTGCTACAGGTTGCCTGGAGAATCAATAGAGATGACAGGGTAAGGAGCATTTCTTTCTATGATGCCTCGGTTTACAGCTAACATCACTTTATAGAGTCCTTGTGCCAGTGAACTGCCTACCTTTGATGTAAACAGCCAGAAAAAAGTATTAGAATCACATCCCATCCACATCAGGAAATTGGTGAAAGTATAATAAGACTATAAATGCCCTTAAATGACACTATCGACTCTAAAATGTCCACCTTAAGTATCATTCTGATTGACCGTAAGATAAAGGCTTGTATGCTCTGGGTGAATTTACACTATACAACATCTACCTCAGAGTTCTTGGCTCTGATCAACTCTGATAAACGCCCAGTGGCTATACATTAGATAGTCAGTTCTAGCATTATGTTTGGTATATGATAGCCTATGCCAGTGATTTAACAACCTGGCAGGTCCATCAGTCTTTTGGCTCTGGTAAAGTGTTGACTTGTGTATCTGAACTAGTCAGTTCTATGTATATGGTAAGTTATGTTAGCAATGTAGCAACTCAAAAGGTTCATCGGTCCTCTAGCCTTGGTGAAGCAATGGATACGTGTTACAACCAAGAGTTTGTATACTCTGGCGCACAACTCAGACAAAGCTATAAGAAGTGAGGGGAGTGGATACCCCTTATGATAGGACCAGGTATATTGTGGATAAACAACAGGAGGACTTGCTGAGGAGTCTCCTTGATCTATTGGGCTATATATACTACTATAGGTTGTTTGTACATGTGTATTATACAGTTGATGAAGGCAGTGGCTGATGATGTCATGGGGCACAGCCAGTGTGACCAGCTCTACTGTGTGAGATACTTGTAGCTAAAAATAAAGAAAGGCAGCGCAGCGTGAGAAGGTGGAGTTTGAACAAAATGGAAAGCGCCACATGGCACAGTGTGTGAGAACTACAGAAGAAAGTTAAAGAGGAGAATGAAATTTAAAGGTCCAAAAATTGTGTATTGTAACAATAAGTAAGCCTTAATTGATCATTTTCTACCAACTTGTTGGTCTGTGGTAGCTAACACTAACAATGCTGCAACTTGAGGAGATTGTCACTGTGGTGACTGTGGTGAAGTAATAGCAGAAGCTTTCAATTTTATCAGCCTTAGCATCCTTGTGAATTATGTCATGGTTTTTGCTAGCCATGCAATGATCAGATTGTGTCTAACAGCTAGCTAATGATCTTGAGTATCATCGTGTCTGTCATGAGCAATCACTACACCAGCATTCATAGTAGACCTTAATCAGATTTTGTGTCAGGTCAACTTTATATACCATTGTTGGTAACTAGTATAGAAAACTACTAATACACAGAGCAAGGCATTGTAGTACTCTGATATATATGCAACAAAAGTTCGAGTGAAAAGAGCCCGCCGGAAACACTGAACTTCACCTACTAGTAGTGCTACTAAATCTACTGGTTTCTTATAGCAGCCTGCTTTTCTCGGATCTTGGCCAGAGCACTATTTCTTGAATGTGCATGTTTTGGGGACGGAAAACAGCCCTTTTTGAAATATTAGCACCACACCAAAGCAAACACTTAAGATTTTACATACCGATTCTACTATGTTATTATCTGTTCAACTTGATCACTCTCCTCCAGGTTGTAGAATCATTCAGAATCAGTCACAAGATCTGTGCACGAGAAGACTTGAGCGGACATGAGAGCAAAATAAACCTGTGAAACAATGTAGATAAAAGCTTTGTAGATAAGAATGTATTTACTTACTTTCATAGCCACATATGCAATAAAAGCCTTTGTTATGGCTTGCATACTATGTATTTGGGTGTTACCAGAGTGTGTTGCTTTAGGCTCTTGGTTGATGGAACTGGGTGAAGTAAAAATGCGTTTAAAAGCCTGTGGAAAAAGTGAAGCATAAAATAATTAGCGTAAAGGCTGCTACACACATTAACAAGTAGGCTGCTTCTTAGCAGGCCATTCCAAGGATCCTTGATGTTATACTGGTAGTTGGCATATAGCACAATTGGCCATTGATCAGCGGAAACATAAGTTTGAACATTCATAAGTTTACTTTTGATCCTGTTACATTTGGTTAATACAACGGATCACTGGATAAAAATTTAAGGAAGCTTACTCGGTATTGGACCAGTCTAACCCTGCAGGACATAAGAGAGTGCCAGTGCATTCATGGTTGAAGCTACAACCAGCTTTGACATTGTGATGGATGTGAGGCAAAAGTGTCTGTCCCTTGGGTGTGATCCAGTCAATGACAGCACTTTTAATACCTTTGGTGTTATCTGCCCTAGCTCTGTTGGCTCCCTTCTGAAACTGTGTAATAAATGCTTGTTGTTAGATCATTGGATAAAAAAAACAAAGATACCATGTCTGCAATGTGGATTATTTCCTCCTCAGAAGAGTCTTCCCTCATCAAATGTTTTTCAAGCCCGACTACTAGTTTGAGCAAATCCAAAAAGACAAGTTGTTCCTTGTGTCCTCTAGAAAGTGATAATACTCCGCAATAAATTCTTCTTCAGGCTGATCTGAGATCATATGCTCAATTCTGTTTTCAATAAGACCTTGAACATTGCAAAATGCATGTATGGCCCTCCCAAAGTGGCAACTGTGATGAACAAGAGGATCCTGTACAGCACTGTGATATTAGGTAGGTTGGGCAGCCTAAGTTAGAGGGCATATTCTTAATATAGCATAAAATGTACAGTTTTTTCCTAGGTCCCAGCTCTAATGCGGAGCTTTGCCCACACTTGCCAGGGTTTGCATTATCAAGAGTTGTATCAAAGCTATGTTGATATTCTCTGCCATTCTCGTTGTTGGACATGAGGTATCAGAGAAGTACTAGCAGGGGGATGAATTAAAACTTGAACTTACCTTTTTATAACAAGTTTTATAGCAGATGGGTCATGGAAATTACTGCACTATGCTTACTAGTTGCAGGAAACCAGATATGGTGAGGGAAAATGTGATTAAGAACAAAGCTTGAAGGAAGTGTCTAGCCACTTGCTGAGAGCAATCAGGGGCTGGAACTAGAGTCCAATGTGAGTAACTGTATTATTAGAGAGTATGACAGGTATACAGTACCTAGAGTCCAATGTGAGTAACTAGAGAATAGGAAGCATTGGACTCTGCAGTACTGTCCGAAGTTTTGTAAACAAAGGTAAACAAAGCAGCCACAAAGGCATAATAATAGAGAACACAATCAATAGTGAATGATAGAAGAATAGATAGAGAAAGGAATGAAAATATATAGGTAGCACAAAGGTGTAGAATCACCAAAACTAACATCTTATTGATTAGGCATCCCAGTCATTGCAGTAACAGAATGATACAGGTGAGTGTTCACAAAGTTCAGTACAGCCTGAGTATAGCTCAATTGATCAATTGCAAAGTTCAAACTTTCAGTGGGCTGTATCTGGCACTTGCGAATATGGTAATCAGTAATCATAATGCCTCCAAGAAAAACAGGCCTGGCCAGTAATACACATAATACCAACTTATTGATTGAGTAACCTGCTGGTAGGGCAATGCCTTGGGTTGTGATTTAAAATTTGCACATCAAAAATATTCTATTGACAACTAGACATTTTTAAAACAACCAGAAGAAAGAGTAATAGTGCAAAACAACAGGTAAATGTCCTACACAGAATTACATGTTTATCAGGCTGAATGGATCAGCCAGACATAATACATAGAGAAATGCAATGGAATACATATGCAAAAAAGATCATGATTTGTCAAAGCAAACTAGAGCTATGCCATGGTTGATTACACTGGTAGTACAGGTCAGTTTATCAAGATATTGACATAGCTGTATTTCTTGCCTCACAAGCTTTCAATCCTCCCCATAACCCTCAAGTGGATAACAAGCAGCAAAATCTGACAAAACCAAGCTGCAAGGTATGTTCAGATCTATCCCAAGGTCCTGAACCATTACAGTAATGCTATTGCTACCATAACGAGCTCATTCCGGACACTTTAGAGCACCAAGAACTTGACTTTTGAATAGTTTAGCCTCCAGGTGACTTTTTTGTCCCCTCATCTCCACAAACATCTTCTCAGTATGATGTTCGTCCTCAACAGCAGCCGAAAAATCCAGCACCATTGGTGCCAATATAGATAGGGAAGGCCTTGGGGATCATTTGGCTCATTAACATCGTCAAATAAATTATAATCTTACCGGCAGAGCAACAGGGAAAAGTTTGGTAGGTAGTTGTGCACTCTGATGCTGGGAAGCATGTTGAGGTCACTGACTTGAGGGATTATAGGAAGGCATATCCTGAGGTTGCTTGCTCTTGGAATGGGTGGGGGGCTGACAATAGGATATTTTGCAAGTATAGCTACCTTCCATACCGGATGTTGTATATAAGCTAGAAGTGTCGGGTGACAGCTTAAAATGTGAGGGGGGTGTTTAGCAGTTTAAGTTATTGGGTTGATGCCTGCCCTGTTGTTTTAACAACTTGCTACTAACTATTTGCACTGATTCAGTGGGAACCCAGGTTTGTATATGAGAGAAAACAGCAGCTCCCCAGACACTGCAGTGTAAAATGATATATTAAATACTACTCATTGAATATTAATACCATTTACACTCAGTGAGTCTCCAAATTTGTCCATTTTCTGCCTTTCAAAGTTCAAACTTGAAGTTGGCAACACACATTCATCTTATCTCAATGGTGTCTCTCAACACACACTAACTAACCTTACTATTCTGATAAACTAATGACACAAGTTACACTGAAATTATATGGCTCCCCGGCAATTTTCATCATAATCTCCAAAGTCTTGTATGTTGCATGGCCCAGGCAATCTATTCTTTGTTTCATCATGTCCTTCTTGCCAGTTAGTTCTATTCTTCATGCTTTGAGTCGCCTTCTTCCCACAATTTCAAAGCAAAGACTACATGTGGTAAAAAATGGGAAGTGCGGAGCCCATCAGTAAATTTAGGAACAATGTACAACTTGGAACTCGGGAATATGGAACAGTCCTATGCATGGTTATTAGTGGGTACCCATTTTTGTGATCTAAAACCCCTTGCAGCAAGCTAACCCAATCACCTACACACAAGCTTACTCTTTCCAGTTGACATTGAGCTGATGGGTGATGGCTGGAATACCTTTTGGGCAAGAAGGTCTGTGCTCTTAGTATTCTAGACTCACTCGGCATTACTGACTTATCATCAGACCTTGATCCCAACTGGGGTGATAACCTGCTCTGGGGAATTACAGATGATCTTTATTGTAGTTGTGGAGATGATGAAGAGTGGTTTTACGTGCAGGCTGCAAATATCACTGAGTTGGGATTCATACCCGTTTAAGGCAAGTGGACTCAAGATTGTGCCTGTATACTCAATATACTGACTTTTTGCATCTATATTTTAGATTATGGGCAACTGATTCACCCGTCAATCCCAGCCATGAACTACCTATCTTTTAGGGGCAGCCTTGGTGAGTTGCAATGTATTCTATGACCCGCTTATAAAGCTTCTTAGTAACCCATCACAGCAAGTGATTAAGCACCCACAATAACCGCTGACAACCAATCCACGCGCCCTACCAATGAATAAGCAGAGGCTAAATGGGCATCTGACTTGAAAACCATAAAGTATACAAGGTTTAAAGCGGAGAATGAAAATGAAGGAAAGGTCCAAAAATTGTGTTATCGTAACAGCTACATCAAGTTCTGCTCTCAATGATAGTTCATCCAGGTCTCAGTGTCCCAGCAAATCCCAAGCTGGACCTAGTTGCAATCAACCTGTGCAGCGCCAGCAATGAAGAAATGAAAACTGGATGTAATGGATTCCCTGCATGGTGTCCCAGTGTCCCTACAGACTCCATTCAAAGTGGGAGTCATGTGGCAGGTATTATTGAGCCACCTCACCAGCATCAGCCAGTATCTAGCCATGGCCATATGAGTTCTGTCTCTAGAAGTGTCAGTGCTGCGGAAGTGCCTTCTAGCAGCCAGCATTTTGACGGTGGTTTGGCTGGTCAGAAAATATCAGGTAGGTAATAACATTGTGGTTCAGACAATTTGCTCAATGTCGACCTCATCTCCAGCTTCTTACACTTCATTTGTGAACTACATAGTGGACAGTTACAGTAGCAGTGCCTCCACTGACTTAGAAGGTTTGTTTAAATTTTATTAACATATTCTCTGATCCAACCTTGTGCACCATAGATACAACTGCACAATCCTTCAATCGGATGAAGGACACTGTGCCTGTGTGGCATGTGGTTCAGCTCTCAGCCATTAAGTATATAGATGTTTGCCTTACACTGATCACAATGTGTTTTGGAGTGTGAGAGTCTTCTTGGCTTGCTTTCAAGTATCTAAACAAGGGCTTGTCTATCAATTGCAGTGGACCCAATGGGTTACATGTTACAATTGACATACCAGTACCTACTTACACTTCACTTTTTCGTACTTTTACTTTTACTTTTTCCAAGTCACATGACCAGTCATGTAACACAACACCTGACCAGTGTCTAGACTCACCATGTGACCGGTCACATGCTAGACATCAGACTTTAAACTTTATTTACAATTGTACAGTACCTCATGTATTTTAGTATATATACAGGAGTAATACATGGGGAAGGACTCAGCGAGTCCTCCTGTTGTCTACCAACAACTAACTTGTTGAATCCTAATGGGTAACCACCCCCACCTCTTCCTCTTCTTTTGAGTGTTGTTTTCATTATGCTCCAGTGCCCCAAGACTGTGTCTTGTTGGTGTTGTCACATTACATGTCAAGGGTGGTTAGTTCTACATGATCATCCACTTCTTGTACTTCTGACCTACACTTCTCATTACATTGCTTGATTTGCCTCAGGCTCGAGAGCCCTCCTTGCTTGTTGACACTATATTTTAAGGTTATCACTGCCCTTCATTCTCTTATCCATGTAGCATCATTCCGCAACAATGGCACAGAGCCACTATGTTTCAAGGCTGCAGAGCCAAAAAGCAGGAATAAGCAGGAAGTTCAAGCACTGCTATACTGGCATCAAGGTCTCGGTTACAGATTCTTTCACGCAAATTACATGCAACTGTATTACAATTCAAGAATAAGCACCACATTCTGGGCACTGGTATTCTATATTGCCTATTTTGTTACACGCAGCACTTGGGCTAGGCTACCATGAACTTGGTTTCCTCTGGCAGCCATTTTGACCACCCAGCATTTCTCCACATCGTCAACTCATTGTATTTTTAACCGGAATCTGACCATTTTTTAGGCATATAAGATTACAAGGAGACCACATTGAGTTGGGCTTATTTGACAGGATTGGCCAAGTCCACCATTACTAATCTTGCGGAACTAGTGCATTTTTTCTAAATCAAATGAGACTGTCAACTTGACCATCAAGATGATATTAGCTATATTTATTTATCAACAACTGGAGGTCTGGAGCTTCCCATCCATCACTCGTGGACCTCACCAACCACTGCTTGAAATCAAGAGGATGAGGAATGTAATACTTGACACGCTGAACCACATAGTGCCAGAGTATCTTCTATCAAGATATTACACTGCATCAGTGGAGCAGCCTGACTCCCCCATTGCAGCAGCTCTCTTGTCTGTGATACAAAGAAGAGCTCCAGGTGCCCGTGGATTAGTGTAAAATTTCATCATGTAATTTGTGGCAGATCATATCATGATTATACTTGTTCTTCAGTACTATTTTGTCAATTTTATTCTAGACACTTTCATATATTGCTCTGTAGGATGATAACTATGACATTGGAATCAATCCTGGCCTGTTTTGTCAATCCTCAGAGCTCCAATTCTTGTAGCAAGGTAAGTCACACTTGGGTATCCCAAAACCTTCCAAAAGTGCTAACTGATATGATAAGTCTGCAGCTCTTTCACAGAGGTCTTCTAATTCCTCTGATTTATCAGTAAGATGGTTCTGAAGCTCCAAGATTTGAGTCATGGCGATGAATCCACCTTTGTGCTTTGAGCTTAGATCAGAATCCAAACTGCAGTTCCTATTGTCCTCATAACCAAGATCACAATATTCTGCCGGTTGTCATCAGGTTGATAGGTATGGGATGTGCACAAATTTTGAGAACTTGAAGACTTACCATTAGCATGGTTAAGAGTTTCCAAGTTGGTGCTAAGCTTCAGCCACAAACTACTGGCATCCCCAATCCCCTTTTTTCAACTGAACTCAAGCCTGAGTACGTCTGACATACAGTGCTTTCCTTCAGGCAAGTTTACACATTTATATTTGGAACCCTTCTTTACTCAAAGATCTAAACTTGCCAGTGGTTGATGAATCTTCTTTAGGTGCCCTCTCAGTCTATTCAAGTTCAGCAGTCAGAATGCATCTCAAAGTCCTAAACATGCTCGCTATTAATTTGCTAGTGTGTACTGTACTCTGTCACGGCCATCCGAGTCCACCCCAATATTGTCGAGACGCAAAGTCAATGAAGAATGGGCTTTAGTGCATTTCTGAGTAATGGAGATTTGGACTACACCATTTTGATGTTCCGGCATGATGACTGACAAATCTGTAGAGAGTCCTGTAGGCTGACACCAAGTAAGATTGTTTTCTGGCTTGATTTTTACAAGTTCTTATTTCTCTTCAAAGAGTTGTATCATTAGCTGGCATTATCACAGCCTTGATGTACCAAATAGTCAACTCACCTAAATATGGCCACCAAGATTTCAGATAGGTCAATGATTATTACTGGTATGTTGTTTTGTGCTTTACAGTCCCATTGGGTTGTCACACAGCCACTATTTACCAAAATGTCAATGGCAACACGTCCAGTATGCCCTTTTACTTATGGTAGCATTGTGATCCAACTCTGTACTAATAGATAAAAGTTCCTCTTAGATCCATCAATCTACCTACAGTATTAAAAGAACAGCCCCTACTTCCCAAAATGTCCATGCACATTTGTTAGTTTTGGTGATTCTGCACCTTTGTGCTACCTATATATTTTCATTCCTTTCTCTATCTATTCTTCTATCATTCACTATTGATTGTGTTCTCTATTATTTTGCCTTTGTGGCTGCTTTGTTTACCTTTGTTTACAAAACTTCGGACAGTACTGCAGAGTCCAATGCTTCCTATTCTCTAGTTACTCACATTGGACTCTAGGTACTGTATACCTGTCATACTCTCTAATAATACAGTTACTCACATTGGACTCTAGTTCCAGCCCCTGATTGCTCTCAGCAAGTGGCTAGACACTTCCTTCAAGCTTTGTTCTTAATAGGTTATGAGCCCTGTGCTCTAGCCATCTTCCTGACCTCATATCTCACTATCCAAGTGTCCTACTGCTTATCCATCGTAACCATTGTCTTCTGGGACTCTTATTATCTCATCCATTACCTCAGATTACTCTGATCTCATCTTGATCTCCAACAACAACTCCTTGTTGCAAGTTACCCCTATTGGACCCCTATTGCATATCTCCACATCCTGTGCTTCACTTCTTGTGATATTTGGGCCATCTATTACTCTATAAAAATGTTCCCTATACCTCTGATTTGGTGGCAATCCATCCATCTTATCTGTCTCTGCATCAATTTCGACTTTTTGCCCTATTTTTCGCTTTTTGGCATATCTGGTGTGTGCATAAAGCTCCAATCTTCTCTACTCTGTCCATTATCAGATAGAACAAGCCTATAGACTGTGAAGCTTGCCTGCATTGCCTCAGTTTGCTGTTGCCTAGAGCCTCTCTCAGTCTGCGGTGTTTGGGGAGCTTAAGTCACTTTGTTGACTCATATACAAGCCCTATTAACCAACACTGTCTCGAGGCGATTTCTCTGTTAATATCAGTGTGGAATTGAAAGGGGAACACAGGCGTAACCCTGTAGCAGCACTAGGAAGCCTTAGCACCCTCCTGGATCGCTTTTGGATGCTTTTTGGACCCTATTTGGACCTATCCTTGCACTTTCTGACCCTCTCCATATTATCTCTCTACCGCCTCACCATCTTATCTGCTCGCCTCCTACTGTTGCCCATTGTCTTTGCCACTATTCCATCGCCTATAGCCGTCTCCTACATCATTTATCATTGCTCTATTGTCTTATACAACACCCATCATGTCTGACTCTGATCCCAAGTTCCATCCCTTGTCTGGCACTAACTACCCCCAGTGGAGTGGTGAAATGCAAGCTTGGTTGATGACCAAGGGACTGTGGAGGCCCGTCTCTGGCGCTGAAAAGTGTCCTGGGACTGACGCTGAAGCAATAGAGAAATGGGAGTTGAGAGCTGAAAAGGCTGCTGGTGCATTATATCTCAATGTCACCAAAAAGCAGCGCATCCATCTTGATGGCATCATTGATGATCCTGTCAAGAT